TTCTGATTGTACGTATTCAAAAACATAATCATTCCATTTTTCCATATTCCATTTGGTCTTTTCTTTCCATCCCAAAGCAATAACTGCCATTCCAGCTAGAATCATAATCTTGTACAACTCTTGCTTATTACTCTTTACTTTGTTATTTCCCAGTATTCCCGAAAATAACAAATCCCTATTAATTTCTATGTTTATTTGAAATAGTCCAGAAATTACCTTTATAATCTTTTGCCAGTATTCCTTAACCAGATTACATTCCCACCGCATGTGTGAATATAATCCTTTTTCCTGACCACAATGCCAGCATTTGGGACTAAACCCTTTCACTATGTACGCCATTTGTGCCGGAGTTCTATACCATTTTAATAAAAATTTTCTACTTAATTCTTTATACTTTTCTATTTTAATATTGTTTATATTCTTCATCAGTTCTTGAGCCGTGTTTGGATGGATCATACCTTCCTGCTCCCATTTAATCTGAATTATCCTTATCATTCTTTCTTTGTCGCTTATCATCAGTTTATATAACATCCCTGCTACCCCTTTCTCCGTTATTTGTCTTTTGTTCAGCACCATATCTATTTTCATTTCTGTCCTCATCATTTCCTCTGCTCTTTCCGTTTTTATTAAATCATAAAGTCCTTGCACTTTCAGCCAATATTGTTTTCCTATTTTTTCTAAAAAAACTTTTTTTGTAATTAAATTCCCTTCTTCATCAAACATATCTTTTAATTTATAAAATCCCTGATCTTCTAATTTCTTCCACCAACCCGGTTCCCTTTGACCCTCCTGCATATATTTTAATGGCGTCCACCTTGAGTATGTTGGCACCCATTTTGTTTTCCAATTCTTCCAAATTCCTAACGCAGTTTTCCGGATGGTTAGGGAATGTGATATACAGTGGTATCTCAGTTTAAGAACGATTTGGTTTACAAATTCTGCAAAACCAGAAATAGTGTCTTGGTTTGAGAACTTTACCTTGGTCTAAGAACAGTGGAAGGGCACCGACGGTGGGAGGCTTCATTAGGGAAAGAGCGCCTCAGTTTAAGAATGGATTCGGTTTAAGAATAGACTTCCGGAACGGATTAAGTTCATAAAGGAGCACTTTTAATTTGGCTTGGAAGCATACAGGCAACCGGTGTTGCTGCAACAAAATTGGAACTATATGCTATTGTTACATAAGTTGGGATCCTCCCCCTCTGTCTGCCGAGTGGTAGCGAGAGTCTATGGCAGGCATAGGCAAACTCGGCCCTCCAGATGTTTTGGGACTACAACTCCCATCATCCCTGACCACCGGGCCTGTAGCTAGGGATGATGGGAGTTGTAGTCCCAAAACAGCTGGAGGGCCGAGTTTGCCTAGGCCTGGTCTATGGGGTCCCAGGCATTCATGCAGGGTCTGTGTTTCTTTGGAGAATTGAGACACAGCAGGGACTGTCGTGGCTTTAAGAAATAAAAAGACCTTCGCTCTGCATGGAGGGAGTCCAGATCTTACAACATGGTCATTGTGGGGCTTGTACCCCACAGCAGTGCAGCCATGGAGTGCAAGGCATCGCTCCCAGCCAGCCTTCAGCCAACCCGTCCAAGATGGATCCCAGTCTTTCTTTCTTTCTTCCTCCTTCTTTTTCCCAGAACACCTTGCTAAAAATTCTCTTTTCCTGTCCCTTCAAACACCCCCCCATTGGTCTTTCCAGGCCAAAAGATTCCTCTCAGATGGCCCATCAACTCCTTTTGTCATGTTAACAGATTTGCTCTTCCCTAGGCCAGCCAGGCTGGTTTGCATAAGCTAGCCAAGGGATTCATTGTCTCACACAGTTCTGCAGCTTGTACTTTCATCTATACCAGGCATGTCCAACAGGTAGATCTGTGATCTACGGGTAGCTCACTGGACATCTGTGGTAGATCACTGGCTCCCCTCAAAGAAGTTCAACAACTTTGGCTCCCCTAAAAAAAGCTCAACATATTTGCCCCGCACCCCCCAAAAACAGGGCTTTCCTCATTCCTAAAAGAAGCTCAACAGCTTTGACCTGAACCCCCAAAAAGGGGGTAGATCACTGCCAGTTTTTAACTGTGAGTAGATCACAGCCTCTTGAGAGTTAGCCACCCCTGATCTATACGTATCTTGATTAATCGAAATTCTACCATTTAAGAATTTCTAGGGTTTAGGTGGTTCCGCCCCAAATTATGGGACGCGGGTGGCGCTGTGGGTTAAACCACAGAGCCTAGGACTTGCCAGTCAGAAGGTTGGTGGTTTGAATCCCCGCGACAGGGTGAGCTCCCGTTGCTCGGTCCCAGCTCCTGCCAACCTAGCAGTTCGAAAGCATGTCAAAGTGCAAGTAGATAAATAGGTACCGCTCCAGCGGGAAGGTAAACGGCGTTTCCGTGCGCTGCTCTGGTTTCGCCAGAAGCGGCTTAGTCATGCTGGCCACATGACCCGGAAGCTGTACGCCGGCTCCCTCGGCCAATAAAGCGAGATGAGCGCCGCAACCCCAGAGTCGGCCACGACTGGACCTAACGGTCAGGGGTCCCTTTACTTTTAACCCAAATTATAACAATATTTTTGCCCCGAGTTGATCAGCAGTTGATCAGCTGCATTGCACACTAGTTGAAGTTTCCAAAGAGTCCTCAGAGGCTGTCCCATATAACATATGCTCCATGTGATAGGAATTTTATGGTTTTAGATATATGGCAACGTTCATAACCACACGTACATAGATCAGCACAGGAAAGCCAACCTGGAACCATTTTGATTCCTAAACTGAGCAAATGTTTCTCTGCATGGTAAAAATGGAAAAGCCTCCCCATTGTCTCTTCCTTCACAAATCCTGTCTTAATCTGTGTTTGAATAAGGGTGTGAGCCTTATCATTACAAAAGACTGCCAAGGCTCCCCAAGAAATCCAATCAAGTAACCTGCCAGACAGGAAATAAACAAAGCGACAGGAGAAAACAACATGCAAATGTTCTGTTTTAGACCGCCTTATCTGAGGGGTGGTCTTAGGTTACACCCCTTCTGTGATGAATGCATAATGTTTCTGGGGGTGGTCTTGATCTAGAGGATGGGAATTTCAAAAGTCTTTATAAGCCCTTGCATAGCATTTTTGGGGGCCTCCTCCTCTCCTGCGTGTGAGGGGAGTACCCTGTTGCAACAGATCAATAAAGATCAAGCTTACTAGCTGCTTTGCTTCTCAATATTCTCTGGTTGGCCTCTGTTATTTTCTCCTACCAATAGGGAACCTATGTAAGGACTCTATATGGGCTCTTGGATACCCCATAAGGGGAAAAAGGGCAGATTTTTATTTACAACATCCACAGTATTCCACTCTTAAGGTTACCAGAGGACACTTTACTGCAGCCAAGGTGTAACTCCATCCACTAGTCTTAAGGTCATCGTTGAGACACCAGCCTAAGCTTAATTCTTCCTGTGGTCTGCCCACTCAGAACCACCTAAGCTGCTTTTCTCTCACACCTTACTTAGTTTGGCCAAAGGTGAGTCTCTCCACAGCAGGAAGATTGCCAGGTTGGTGCAGCAGCTACATCTTCTCTTCCCACTGGGTTTCAAAGTAGATGGTGCAATACTTTGAAACATTCCCTGAGGCAGTTCCATGGAGCCTGCTTCCAGGTCAGCCGACATGAGATTGCAGCTTTGAAAAAGTGGAGAAACTTGCATCTGAGCGGGGATTCATCGGGGATTATGGTGTTACGGAAATATTACAAATATTATGCCTGAATGTATCCTTTCAATATAAAATCATCTCCTTTGCCAGTTCACTCCATTCCAAAGCTATTTTCCCCTTGAAAAAAGGACTCCAGGTAGTTCCCAGAGGTGACAATTGCTGGGCTCACTGTTAGCCAAGGGAAGCCAAATCTCATCACCTGACTCGCCTCAGGCTCCAGACATGCCAAGGAAGTTCTATTGTACTTTTGGGTGGTGGTTACTTAAGACATTTTTGTCTATGCTAATCTTATACCTGAGTCTTGCCCTGTCATGTCTGCTTATGCTAATCTTGTACCAAGGACTTGTCTGGACATGTTTGCCAAGGTTAACCCCTCCCCTTTTGTGACATGCCAGTGACGTAGCAATGACGTTGTACGAACTGTATTCTGGGATATGGTGGGAAAGTTTTAAAAGTCTTTGTCACCCCATCCTTGGGGTTCAAATTTGCTCTTTGAACCTATTGCGCAATAAACTTTGGTCTACAGCTATTTGCTCCGGTGGGCTGGACTCCTTCCTTTATTCCACAGGGACCTGAGGGCTCTGCCTGACGAGCTGGGTGACTGAGCAGCCTCACACCTAGATTTTTCCATAACAACGGTCTGCAAATGGCTGGCATAGTCCACCACAGCTCACAGAGCTCCACAGTCTGGCTTGGCTGGAGAGTGAGTCTTTCTCTCTGAAGAGGGAACTTCCTCTCCCAAAAAGGTTCCATGCAATATCTGGAGAGACATTTCTTCTGCACGAAGCTTTGCCAAGCCTGTCAACTTGAGGCAGCAAAGTATACAGGCCCTGCGGAATGAGATCAGATCCCGCAGGGCCCTGGTCTCAAGAGACAGAGCATTCCACCAGGCCGGAGCCAGTGTTGAGAAGGCCCTGGCTCTGGTTGAAGCTAATCTACCGTATTTTTCGCTCTATAACACGCACTCGACCATAACACGCACGTAGTTTTTAGAGGAGGAAAATCCGTAGGCATGCCACCCGTAGGCATTCCCTCCATAACACGCACAGACATTTCCCCTTACTTTCTAGGAGGAAAAAAGTGAGTGTTATGGTGCAAAAAATACGGTAACTTCCTTAGGGCCTGGGACCTCTTGAGAGTTGGAGGAACTCTTAGCTGCATTGATCAGCTCATCTGCTAGGCACTCAGCTATGGTCTTTATGTTGCGGAAGGAAGCTTCAGGAGCCCCAGTGCGGAGCCACCAGATAGCCTGATTGACACGACGCAAAGGTGTCACATCAACAGCTTGTCTCCTCACTGTGCCAGCTCCACCAATACGGCTAGAGTCTTCACGAGGGAGAGTCTTCACTGTTGATGATGGCATTCACCAGGACTGGAAGGGGGTTCTCTCCTGTGAGCAGATGGGTGATCTCGAAGGCATGCTTGATGATGCGCCCAGTCATGAGCTTCTTGCCATTGTTGCGTCCGTGCATCATTATTGACTTAGTGAGGCGCTCAACGATAGGACACTGGGCTTTCCGGAAGCGCTTGGCAGCATAGCGCCCAGCACTGTGTGGCAAATACTTGGCGTATTTCTCCTTCACTGCAATGTAATCCTGCAAGGAGATATCACTGATCTGCACATCATCTGTACTCAATTTCCCAAACTGAAGGAATGGGTTTCTGTGCAGTCAGTTTAAAACTGACTCAACCCTACAAGAGAGCACTCTAAAATTCATAAAACTTGAGCTGTTGAGCAAATGCATAACAAGGACACAGCTGCATAAACAAACTCTCTCCTTTATCAGTCACGGCAAGGGATGACCCTGACTGTACCAGTAGAACAGAGAAGACACGTCTGTGCCTTATCTTACGTTCTGACCACAAAAGACGCACAGACCCAAGTCCGGGAACAACGCCAGAGCGTGTTCTCGGAGATGACGACCTCTTCCTCCAAGATAAGAGTAGGAAGAGAAAGATCCTTTTATGGTCAGAAGTACAGGAAGGAATACCCTTTTATGGTTAAGAATACCAGAGCAAGAACATATGTGATGTCAACCTGCGTACATAGGCTGACGTGGTTGGATTCCTGGGGAAGGAGGGAGAGGGTTCCTGGAGGATATGTATACTGCATGTAATCTCGGATTTCTTTGGACTTGCTGTGGACTCACCACGCAAGTGCCTTCTGCTATCGGTGTCATTTGACTTCCTTCCTCCTGTCCCGGAACAATGCAGACCCAATCGGTAAACTCCAATAAGGCTACAAAACAGCTTGATATCAGGGGTCTCAGCCACAGCAGGGGCTGTCTCCCAGCCAGTCATTATGGAGGCGCTTCGCTCTCCTCCCTGCGCCCCGCTCGCTCACAGAGGCAGAAAAGGGCCACGCGCGGGGTTACCCAGAGTCTTATGCCGACCCCTGAGTTAATTCTTGGGAGGGCAGTAAGAAGGACCGGGGGGAGCAAGGTGGCTCTGAAGTCCACTCTGGGAGCTCCCTCCATCACACAGCTTTGTCAAGCCAGGTCAAGGTATCTTATGAGAACATGAAGCTCAACATTTGCGTTGCGTATTTTATGTGCTTGCCCTTCTTGCGGCAAGCGACAGGCCTCCCTTTCTGGCTTGTGCCATCTCTTTATTTCTGCCCACCCCTTGCTAAAATATATTTCATTTACTCAGCCATGGTTAGAATAATATTGACTTTAAAAGTTGAAATGGCCATTGATATAATCTTTCTCTCCATGTGGCAAATTCTAGCAAAAGTTAATGAGAATTTACGGGGCAGAGTTTTATGGGATGGAGGGATCAATTCCAAATAAGATCAATTTTGCATCTCACCTCATTATGCAAATTGCCTTTTTTGGAATGGTATCAATATTATTAAAGTTAATATCCAAATCTAATTGTCTTGTCCTGGCAGAGCTGGGAAAATATAAACAGCTGAAACAGCATGCTTACTTTCAGATATATATATAATATTAGCATGACTGATGCATTATCTTGCATAAGATCAATATTAACATTAATGAAGCCTACATTTTACTTCATTACATAAACTCTGGCGTACTAGTTCTCATTTTTTCTCCCGTTATTCACATCAGACATAATGGGGAATGTCTCTGTAACGATCTCTATTATAAACCTCTGCAGATCAAAACCCATTCCAGATTATTTATCATTAAACCCATTTGCTCTAATGACAACATTAGTTATAAACATACTAATTTAATGAAGACAGTGATAAAACAGGTATACCTACATCTAACTGCTGTTTATTCTCAACACGAATGTGTTGCTTGCTTGCTCTTTCTGTTTCTTCTGCCTTTTTTCTTATTTACAGAACCCTCCCCTGTGCAAGCAGACCTGGAAGACATGCTGCTGCTGGGAACTTTACACTGGCATATTACAGTATCAGGAGGAATATTATGGCTTAACTTTGCATCAGTGTAACCCCACTACCAGAGCAACCTCAACCGTGTGTAGTGATAGTTGGAATCAGAGATGTGTCATGAGAGGAGTACAACCTAGTCAGCAAAACAGTGTAATTTTACCCCGGGCAGAAGAGGTGGTGTATATGTTAACTGTTATGTACTAAAATTCTCACCCTAGGCCAGCAGGGGATACGGTAGATAGTTTTCACTCAGGTCCACATATGCAAATAAGGGATTGAAAGTGACGTTCAGTGATTGGATAATTACAGAAAATGGTTACTGTTGCATTCTAGTGGAGCTCTATATAAGCAGGCTGGTTGAACCCTTCAGTTCTGTTCTGTTCTGGTCTGTGAATAAACAAGAGCTGTTTGAAGAATCGCTGTGTCGTCTGATATGTTCACCCACAACTTAACATTAACACTCATGTTGAACTCAGCAGACCACCATAAAATACTTCCCCCATCTCCTTCCACCCTGCCTGCGCAACCCCTGTGGATTCTGACTATGTAGCCAGTTACTGCATATTATTATCATCATCAAGGGGACGCGGGTGGCGTTGTGGGTTAAACCACAGAGCCTAGGGCTTGCCGATAAGAAGGTTGGTGGTTGGAATCCCCACGACGGGGTGAGCTCCCGTTGTTCGGTCCCTGCTCCTGCCAACCTAGCAGTTTGAAAGCACGTCAAAGTGCAAGTAGATAAATAGGTACCACTCTGGAGGGAAGGTAAACGGTGTTTCCGTGTGCTGCTCTGGTTCACCAGAAGCGGCTTAGTCATGCTGGCCACATGACCTGGAAAAACTGTTTGCGGACAAACGCCAGGTCCCTCAGGCTATAGAGCAAGATGAGCGATGCAACCCCAGAGTCGTCCACGACTGGACCTAACGGTCAGGGGTCCCTTAACCTATTATCATCATCATTACTATTTCAATTTGTATACCCACCCTTTATCAAAAGGGGCCACGAGCTTACCGGGGAGTAAGCCGCGTGGAATTCAATAGGATTTACTATCGAGTAGACCAGCTCAGGCCCCGCAGGAGCCATGCTATAAAATAAATAGCAACGAAACAGCCATGAGGTTTGTTTAAACAAGAAAATAACAGGTTTGGAATTGCCCAAGAAAGATGTTAAATTATTTTTGTATGCCACAATTGCTGCTCATATTTTGTTAGCTAAAAAGTGGAAAACCCAAGAATTACCAACGATGGAAGAATGGCAGATGAAGATGATGGATTTTTCGGAGCTAGCTGACCTAACCGGAAGAGTCCACGACCAGAAGGAGGAGTATCAGGAAGATTGGATTAAATTTAACGATTACTTAGTTAAATATGTTAAGTTAAATTAACTGAAAACAGCTTGCAGATACTCAATTGGCTTAGGATTTTATTTAAGTTAAGTGATGAATTAATATGTTTAATTTCATAATGTGAAGATCTAAGGATGTTAATGTTTAAAGTTAAATTTTATAAGGACTGTGATTTGGAAAACCGTTAAAAGGATATGCAATGAAATTCAAGCGAGGAAGTCACTTAACAATGTTAATAAGTGTAAATTTTAATAAGGCTATGATTTATGTTTGTTTGTTTTATGTGTTTGTTTATAATGTTGTGAAAACCAGTAAAAAAATTTTGAAAAATAAATAAATAAAACGCGACAATTAAATTAAACGTTTCACTTTCAGCTGAGGGAGAGCACGAAGGCCCCGTCGCCCTGTCTCTTGCTTGGGGGGCAAGAGGCCACAGAAGCAACCGGCCCTTAGCCGCGCGTGCGCTGTAAATCGACCCACTGTTTCCCCGTGAGGGAAGAGGCCGCTTCCGCCCGGCGGGAGGCGGCGACGGTGCGTGCTTGCGCGCGTGCGCACGCGGAGGAATGGCGTCCAAAGGAAGCGCGGGGCTTAGGTCCTGCGACGCAAAGGCTGGGGGTGATGGGAGCTGTAGTCCAAACGACATCCGGGGAACCAAGGCCGGCATTTAATGCGTCTGTAATGTGCGTGACGGAGAGCGCCGCGCGCCTGCCCCCACCTTAGCTCCGCCCCTTTCCGCCGTCAAAGGTCAGAGTTCCCTTCGGCGCTTGAAGGGCCGCCATGGCGTTCGGCGGCGCCGCTGCTGTCCGGCTGCGGCCTCTCCAGCTGCTGCGGCCGCTGGCGTGGAAAGCGGCGGCTCCGAGCGGCGCCCGTGCCGGTCCGTGAGTTGCTGCTGCTGCCGCCGCTTCCCATGGGGTGGTGCAGAGAGGGGAGGTGGGGAGGTCACCTTCCCCTCAGGCAGGCGGGTTGTGGGGGTCAACATCCCTCGGGGGGGGGTCACTGCCCCACAGGTGGGGGTCACCTTTCCCTCAGGTGCGGGGGCCACTTTCTCAAGTGGAGGGGTCACCTTCCTTCAAGGTTCAATGACTGTCAGATGGGGGGGTCGCTTCTCCACAGGTAAGGGGGGTCACTACCCCAGGTGGGGAGATTACATTCCCCTGAAGTAGGGGGAGTCTCCCTCCCCTCAGGTTTGGGGGCCACTTTCTCAAATGGAGGGGTCACCTTCCTTCAAGGTTCAGTGACTATCAGATTGGGGGGGGGGTCAGCATCCCTTCAGATGGGGGGGTCGCTTCTCCACAGGTGAGGGGGGTCACTACCTCAGGTGGGGGGATTACATTCCCCTAAAGTAGGGGGAGTCTCCTTTCCCTCAGGTGCGGGGCCACTTTCTCAAATGGAGGGGTCACCTTCCTTCAAGGTTCAATGACTATCAGATGGGGGGGTCACCTTAGGTGGGGAGTCACCTTCCTCTCAGGTGGGGGTTACCATGCTCTAAGGTGGGCAGGTCAGTGACTACTAGGTGGGGGGATGAGCATCTCCTCACACAAGGGGTTCACTTCTGTACAGGTGGGGGGTCACATTCCCCTGAAGTAGGGGGAGTCACCTTCCTCTCAGGTGGGGGTTACCATGCTCTAAGGTAGACAGGTCAATGAGTACCAGGTGGAGGGTCAGTATTTCCTCACACAGGGTTCACTTCTCCACAGGTGGGGTTCAGCATCTCTTCAGATGGGGGGGTCACCTCAGGTGAGGAGTCACATTCCCCTCAGGTAGGGGGAGTCACCTTCCTCTCAGGTGGGGGTTACCATGCTCTAAGGTGGGCAGGTCAGTGACTACCAGGTGGGGGGTCAGCATCCCCTGAAGTAGGGGGAGTCACCTTCTGCTCAGGTGGAGGTCACCATGCTCTAAGTTGGGAGGTCAACATCCCCTCACTTCTCCACAGGTGGGGGCCACCTCAAGTTGGGGGGGTCACTTTTCTCTCAGGTGTGGAGGTCCCCTTCCTCTTCACTTGGGGGTCCATTGAGCTGGGAGGAAGTTGAGGCTGCGCTGGACCTACGGGTGCCACCAAACACCTGTTTTCTGTGTTTGTAAGAACTTGGTTGCTTAGTGAGGTAGCGCCTACCACTTTGGAACTCCCTGCCTATTGATCCCAAGCAGACATCTTCACTGCACTCTTTTGGCACCTGCTTAAGACATTCCTGTTTAGGGGAAGCCTACCTAGGTGCTTAGAGGATTGAGGTGGTTTCTAACCTGTTTCAGTGTTTTTATTTTTTGTACACTTCAAAGGTTCTCGGTTTTAGCGTCTCTCTTTCCTGCATACTGCTTTGAGGGTTGTTGTTGTTTTACCATCAAGTGGTGTATGAAATAGAAGAAATGGAAAGAGCAGCCTGCTGGATCAGGCCATTGGTCCTTCTTGTCCAGCATCCTTTTCTCTCTTTTTTAAAATACATTTTTATTAATTTTAACATACAAATTATAAAACGTACCACACAAATTATTACAAATACACTTTTTTTGGACTTCCATCAGCACCTCCGATGATCTTCCGTCTTAACTTCTTTTTATGCATGACTTAATATTATATTGTCTTTACCTCTCTTAACTTATCATCTCCCCTTTTCCATTTTTACAATATTTCCAACAATACTCCTCACAGAACGTCTTGAAAACCTACAAACGTCGTCTGATCATCACAAATACTTTTCATATAGTTCGTAAATTTACTCCAGTCTTCGGTAAATTTCTGGTCCCGCCAGTTTCGGATCCTTCCTGTTAATTTGTCTAATTCTGCATAGTCCATCAACTTCATCCTCCATTCTTCAATCGTTGGCAATTCTTCTTTGTCCATCATCCTGTTCTCCCAGGGGCTGACCAGGTACCTGTGGGGAACCAGCAAGCAGGAACTGAGCACCAGAGCAAAATCCCACACTCATGGTTTCCAGCAACTGGAATTTGGAAACATTTACTGCCTCCATGTGCTGGGGGCAAAGCCATTAATTACCCTCTCCTCCTCCATTAATTTGTCTAATCCATTCTGGTTGATGTCCACCTCTTGCCTCCTGTGGGAGCGAGTTCCACAGTTTGACTATATGCTGCATGAAGAAGAGCTTCCTTTTACCTGTCACTCCATAGCTCAGTTGATATGCGATAGCTGCATGGTGCTGATTACACCAAGATTGCAGGTTCGATCCCCATATGGGATAACTGCATATTCCTGCCATTACAGGGGGTTGAACTTGATAATCCTCAGGATCCCTTCCAACTCTACAATTCTATGAATCTTCCAACGGTGGCTGCAGCCCTTTTGCATGCTGGCTTTGGGAGACAGCTCCATGAACACACAGTGCCTTTATCACTGAGTAAAAGATAGTGGGGTAGGGCTGTGGCTTGGTTTTTCACTGTTTTCTAGTTTTCTTTTTGTGCTGTGAATTTAGTGGGGCTTCATTCCTGAATGCCTGTGACCAGAGGGTCCTGGGTCCCAGGTTAGAATTCCCTGTTCAGTGGCACCGAGGATGATGGTGGCTTTAAAAAGAGAGAGAGAAAAAACCAAAGCCAGCTCCTGCCAGCACAATATCTGGGCTATTCATGTCTTCTCAATTTTCTCTGTGGCTTCTGTCATCTTCATCACCATCGTCACTTTTAATTTGCATACCGCCGTTCTGTGTTGCTATACACAAGGCAGCTTACAAGCTGAAGAGGCAACAAAATATGCAAGAAATGTCACACACCTTACAACGATCCAATACAAATAAGTCATAATTTAAAAATGACTTAAAATAAACATGTAAAATAAAGAATATTCAGTAATCCATCAGCCTGTAATACACAATAAAATTAAACTCTCAAAATATCAGCCAATAATGATTAAAGAGAAATTTACTCTCAACAGTTACAATAAAGCATTACTAAATTATAATCAATAAAAATAACAAGTCATAAAATACCATGATACATTAAACTATGTAAAAAAGATTGACTTGAACAACAAGGTCACATAACTTTTGAAATTATTAAAGGAATCCCCCCCCCCCCCGAACTCCTTCCTTCCTTCCTTCCTTCCTTCCTTCCTCTCTCTCTCTCTCTCTCTCTCTCTCTCACACACACACACACACACACACACAGAGCCTTCGCAGTCACTTCTGCTATTCTTAAAGCTGTGGCCTGGGAGAGGCTTTTCTAGGGTTCCTTCATGCTAAACCTCCACATCCCCACCCTTATTGATTAGACTCTTCTGGTCATTCCACCCCTCGCCCCCTAGCTGCCACTGCGCTTTATGCAGAATGTTGTGCTCTTTCTGCATAAAGGGCAGGGATTTGTGCTTCTGGATCTCTTTGCTTTAGCTCTCATTTTGAATGGCAGGAGGTGACTGAGGATGGAACCGCCTGTGATTCTAGACTACATGCAGGGCAGCTGGAAACACACCCATGTTGGGGTTGTTTCTGCAGATTTTCCTGTGTTATGTGAGCTCGCTGTGTGTTCCCCTACACTTGCTCCACATCATTGATTGTCACAGAAGTAAGAAAAAATGCAGGGAAGTAACACTACTAGATCTGGCAAAAGTATTAGATTGTGAAGGGGGAGAACATTGTCATTTTCAGTGGCAACCCCACTTGTTTTGCCGTGAGGTGAGAGTGCTGCTGAACACAGCTGTACACTTATTTCCTTAACTGAATTCAAAGCTTCCTTCAATGCAGGCCTAAATGAATTCAGCTTTTTGTTCTACAGCACTGTACTGTTCCTGCTCTGAACAATCTATTCTTTGTAAGCTGCTATTTCCCCCTGTAGCCTTGGCCTTAACTTGCATTTCTTCCTCTAGCTTCGGACACGCCAAAAGACTTGCTGCCTGGGCCTTACCCCAAAACTCCGGAGGAACGGGCAGCTGCGGCAAAAAAGTACAACATGAGACTGGAGGACTATGAACCTTATCCAGATGATGGCATGGGGTGAGGTATACTTGACTCAAAGATTGGGTGATGTGGGGAGCTGGGATTGTGAAAAGCAGATGCGTCTCCTGGTGTTGTTTGCAGACACTTGGGTAAACTAAACATAATATTCATACTTCTTGACTCTTCTCTGCCTACCCCACCCCCAGCAATAATAGATGGTTTTCATGAAGTTCAGTCAGTGGGAATCCAACCACACCATCTTGGGAACCCCTTGGACTTTGCAAGGCCAGCCACAAAGGAAGGGACAATTTTAAGCACATATTCAGGTCAATACTGTCTCTCTCAGCGTGAGCCACATTTGAGATATTTGTTCATCTTCACATCAACTCAGCGACTTGGGTTATTAGTCCGGTTTTTACCAAGGAGTAATGAAAACTAGGGAAATGAACCTGCATTAGCAACATGAGGTCAGGGCAGCGCCTCAGGATTTTAAAATAGGGAAAATTCCTACCCTATCCAAACCCACTTGAGAATGTTAAAAGGTAAAGGGACCCCTGACAATTAAGTCCAGTCGCAAACAACTCTGGGGTTGTGGCGCTCCTCTCATTTTAAATGCCGAGGGAGCCGGCGTTTGTCTGCTTCCACAGACAGTGTTTCCAGGTCATGTGGCCAGCATGACTAAGCCGCTTCTGGCGAAACCAGAGCAGCACATGGAAACGCCGTTTACCTTCCCGCCGGAGAGGTACCTATTTATCTACTTGCACTGTGTGCTTTTGAACTGCTAGGTTGGCAGGAGCTGGGACCATGCAACGGGAGCTCACCCCGTCGCAGGGATTCGAACCACCAACCTTTCGATCGGCAAGCCCAAGCGGCACAGTGGTTTAACCCACAGCGCCACCCACGTCCCTGTGTTGAAAATGTTAGTAGTGTGGGTGGCGCTGTGGGTTAAACGACAGAGCGTAAGACTTGCCGATCAGAAGGTCGGCGGTTCGAATTCGCGCCACGGGGTGAGCTCCCGTTGCTCGGTCCCTCTTCTGCCAACCTAGCAGTTCGAAAGCATATCAAAGTGCAAGTAGATAAATAGGTACTGCTCCAGCGGGAAAATAAATGGCATTTCCGTGCGCTGCTCTGGTTCGCCAGACGCAGCTTAGTCATGCTGGCCACATGACCCGGAAGCTGTACGCCGTCTCCCTCGGCCAATAAAGCGAGATGAGCGCCGCAACCCCAGAGTCGGTCACAACTGGACCTAATGGTCAGGGGTACCTTTACCTTAAACTACTCCTTTAGAATTACAGTCTACACTGTGGGGAATCCATAACTGATAGGGGAGCTTAGATTTGAAGTGAAGGCAGGAATCCAAATGCAACAGGGGTTCTCAACTGGTTTGGGGCAATGAATATATTGGGTAATTCTGAGCAAATCCTGGGGTGCCAGTTGCAAAATGGTTGCTCTGGGGGTGCGGGTGACAGAACACCAAATGTTTGCCATATCTAGAAAGAGACAGGAATGCAAAATGACGTGGGCATCCCCTTTCCATCAACAGAAAAAAGGTACCTACGTCAACCACTTCTGCATTCACTCACAGAGAGCAGTTCTTTGCACGCCTTCTGTGTTCAGAACGGAAGGGAGGGTTGATGTCCAATCATGGCATCCAATGAAATGTGGGCATGTTTAAGGGGACCTGTTCAGTGTAAGAGATGCTGAGCCAATACACACAAGCACTGAGCAGGAAGGGCAAATAGGCCCTCATGCATTGCTGATTTGGAGGGCAATATTTACAGAAACCTTTTTAACAGACTCCATAGATACCCAGGGGGTCAGGTTGGTGACTGCTGAAATACAACAACATTAAGTCTAAAGTTTTTAAATGTAAGTAAACAATTCCATGTTAATGTTGTCCTTCTGTAGTATGAAGCTCTTCAAGACTCATAATTGAGAAACATTGGCCTAATTCATGGAGGATCCTCTCCCTTAGTTCACATTTGTAATAATATTAAAGTGGCACTAGCTGCCACTGTGACATAAACTCCCTCTCTCTCCCCTCCTTCCTGATTGGAATTTGGATCTTTTCTAACCCTGTGTTACATATTTTTAATTAAATACACAACTCCGAATGGGTTTTGTTTCCATGACTTAGTGGTATATCACACTATATCCCACAGAACCTGCAAACTAGGAAAACTGGGAAATGGTAAAACACAAATTGCTTTTTACAGGATGAAATGGCTGAGTATTTTTTAATGCATAAACATAGAGTACTCAGATCTTTATAGGATGCTTTACCTGCTGTCTCTTCTGCTCTTGTATTATTGTTCTTGTAAGCATTTTTCTGTTTGTCTAGTGCAATGGATTTATGGTGACTTCCTTATATACTTTTCATAGTTACGGTGACTATCCCAAGCTTCCTGACCGATCCCAGCATGAGAGAGATCCTTATTATCAGTGGGACCATCCTGAGTTAAGGCGTAACTACGGCGAGACCGTAAGGATGATAGTTTTTTGTGTTCCATTTCTGTGATTTCAGTTTGCAGTCCATATTTATCTGGGTTAGGGAGAGTACCACCGAGTTGAGACTTTTTACTGAATCACATTCTGATGCTTCCAAGCTCAAAAGATCTTCCTGTTTTTGAATTTACTTAGTGTACACACATTGACACTTTAGAATCCAAGTTTTGAGTATGAAAATGATAATTGTATGTGTTTTAAAAATAGATTCTGACCTTGCAGATATTTTGCTTTCTGATTGCAGTGTATGAAGTCACTCAGTGTCATCAATACTTGTGGTGCTTTGCAATGTAACACAAACTGAGCAGGTCCTTTTCCTAAGAACTTTGTCTAAACATGGATAGGGAGGGAGGGGACGGGAAGGTTCTGGTATTAAGGGCTAAGCAGAAGCAACTGAAGTTATAGGCACATAGGATGTGTTTTCTCCTGGAAACACAGATTTAACAAGGGAGGGCAAATATTAGAGAGAGATCTTTATCAGTGGCTTGAAGACTAATAAGAGAAGGTGCATGCATTCAGGGGGATGATGTCACCTAGACATCATCCAGACTTCCTGCATTGCAGGGGGTTGGACTTAGATGATCCTTGGTTCCCTTCCAGCTCTATGATTCTATGACGTAAACAGCATCAAGGATGAATGGATGGCTCTGTTTCAAGGAGCAGGAGGTCTCTAAGCAGATCAGGGCAACAGAGTTGGAGGAGTGAAGATCACAGGCGAGAGTACCGTATTTTCCGGCGTATAAGACGACTGGGCGTATAAGATGACCCCCCAACTTTTCCAGTTAAAATATAGAGTTTGGGATATACTCGCCATATAAGACTACTCCTCTTCCAACGCACACCAAATAAAAAATTAAAAAACCAGTCTCCAGTCCGGCTCGGAAATCCACTCCACTTCCCAGTGGCCGGGGCTTCTGGGGCCAATTTCCAAGCGTATTTCTGCTTCATCTAGAGAGCTTGGTGTCCTCTGATTTAATTTGTTGTCTTTTTATCCTTTGGTGGGGAGTTGCTGCCGGAGCTGCTGCTGTAGCCGGCGTATAAAACGGCCCCCGAATTTTGAGAAGATTTTCTTGGGTTAAAAAGTAGTCTTATACGCCAGAAAATACAGTATATTAAGATACAAAATAGGAAATTTCATCATAGGATGATGTCTCATCACAGCAGAGTCCCTTATTTGCAGAAGAAATCAGTTTTTTTTGTTGTTGTTTTTTGTGGGGGAAGCAAAACAAGACTGGAAGGGGACCATGCGAGGAAACTGGGTGATTCCCCCCCCTTCCTGGTTTTTTACTGGGTCTTCACAGCTAACTTTGTTTGCTTGTCACATCAGTTCAAGGGGAAGATTTATTCCTGCGATGTGAACTAGTTCATGTCTAAGCTCCCCCATAGACAACCCCTGGTTCATAGTATTAGCAGTAAACTGTGTGAAGCCCTCTCTCATCTCCATAATAACCCCAAGATAACTCGCAGGTGGTGTTGGCCATATATAACCACACCTCCCCTTTGTTTTGACCAGCTGCATTGGCATTTTGATATGTTCATCCGGAACCGGGTTGACACATCTCCCACTCTCGTGCCCCGGAACACAATGTTTAAGTACCTCTTCGGCTTCATTGGCTTCATGGTCTCCATGTTTCTTCTGGGCGAGATATTTCCATCCTACCAGCCTGTGGTGAGTTACAAGTCAGCCTTTTTGAATATCTGGCTGTGAGAGCCCTCTAAAGTTCATACCTAGACTCCAGTGCCCCATATCATCTGTGGGTGGACGGACCACTTTCTGTCTTTTGTTAAAATATTTGGGGAACCTCAGGCTAGGGAGTCATCTGTGCTCCTCGGGACTCTCCCTAAGCCATTGCCCCTCTCTCCAAGCCACACTTTCTGTTGCCCAGCTGGAATGTGTCATTGAACTGTGATCATGCCTCTGGTTTGCCTACATAGAAGAGGGGTGGGGTGTAAAGCTTGTGAGTTATTATTATTATTATTATTATTTATTAAGTTTGTATATCACCCTATACCCACAGGTGTATTCCAGCATGTGGCTGGAATGTAATCTGCTGTAGCACAGTCAGAGTTGCAGCCCTGCATGGATCCCCATAAATAATAATAATAATAATAATAATAATTTATTATTTGTACCCTGCCCATCTGGCTGGGTTTCCCCAGCCACTCTGGGCGGCTTCCAGAGAGACCAAAAGTACACTAAAATATCACACATTAAAAACTTCTCTGAAAAGGGCTGCCTTAAGATGTCTTCTGAATGTCAGGTAGTTGTTTATCACTTTGACATCTGATGGGAGGGCGTTCCACAGGGCGGGTGCCACTACTGAGAAGGCCCTCTGCCTGGTTCCCTGTAGCTTTGCTTCTCGCAGTGAGGGAACCGCCAGAAGGCCCTCGGCGCTGGACCTCAGTGTCCGGGCAGAACGATGGAGGTGGAGACGCTCCTTCAGGTATACTGGGCCGAGGCCGTTTAGGGCTTTAAAGGTCGACACCAACACTTTGAATTGTGCTCGGAAACGTACTGGGAGCCAATGTAGGTCTTTCAAGACCGGTGTTATGTGGTCTTGGCGGCCGCCCCCAGTCACCAGTCTAGCTGCCGCATTCTGGATTAGTTGTAGTTTCCGGGTCACCTTCAAAGGTAGCCCCATAAAGAAATGGTGGCCCTGAAAACAAACTATCCTTGAACCTTGAACTTGGTCTACAAGGATGGGGTTCTTACTGCTCACAATAGATTGTTTGGCAGGTGATAATCATCTGTCTTAAGTGAGAAATGCCACATGCAGGTGGCCTTGTGAGCAAACGAAAAGTGGGGGACATGGTCAGATTCAGCATGTGGGTTGGCAGGTATTTTGTTGCTTTGAAAGGGCTCACTTGGGCCTCTTGGTTCTGTACTCTATAAATCTGTAGTGTGATGAGTTAATTCTCGCTGTCTCCTGTTCTCTACAGGGCCCAAAGCAATTTCCCTACGGTGACCTGCATGTGGCACGAGGTGGGGATCCCAGCGAAACACCTGTGGTGAAGCACTATGAGATATAAGGATGGCTGGAACTGCAACTCCTCTTTTATCCTCTCTGATCAGGATTATCTATAAAACAAACTGTACACCACTCTTCTCAAGATCCTGGTGTGGTGTTTTTTTTTGGGGGGGGGGAGAACAGGACGGGAGGGCACAACCATGAAAGCCTCTACTTAGTTATTTCTGATTTGTATGAGTATGTTGTACAGTGGGCCATGTGGACTTAGCATAAAGGTAAAGCGACCCCTGACCATTAGGTCCAGTCGTGACCGACTCTGGGGTTGCGGCGCTCATCTCGCTTTATTGGCCGAGGGAGCCAGCATGTGGTCATGTGGCCAGCATGACTAAGCCGCTTCTGTCGAACCAGAGCAGCGCACGGAAACGCAGCTGACCTTACCGCCTGAGCGGTACCTATTTATCTACTTGCACTTTGACGTCCTTTCGAACTGCTAGGTTGGCAGCAGCAGGGACTGAGCAATGGGAGCTCACCCCGTCGTGGGGATTTGAACCACCGACCTTCTGATCGGCAAGTCCTAGGCTCTGTGGTTTAACCCACAGCGCCACCCGCGTCGCTCTAAACCCTAAAGAGAGTTCTTTTAGGCGTAACCTTGTTTCCTTCAGAACCTTTTGTGTCATGTGAGAATCTGCACACAAAGTAAGATCAATACAGCATGACTCAGAAATGTTGTAAAGTAAAAACAAAAGAGCTCCAATATTCTGACAAACATCCAGGTTATTCAGTTAAGTAGCACTGGACCAGCTTATTTTTGAATGAGGGACAAACAGTTAGCAAAAGAAAACAAGCCAACCTCAGCTACTGTATGGTTGGCTTATCAGGCTAAGGCCTAGGTTCAAGTGCCCATTCCGACATTAACTCTTGCCAGTCACAGCCTGAGCTATGTGTCTGGGCTTTTGTGAAAGATGAGGAGGAGGACAGTTATATATGCAGCTTTGAGCAGTGAGATATAAATGTGACAATAGATAAAATTGTCTTCTATTTAAAAATCCATTGATCCACAGTAAAGAAGCATTTATCATTATTATTTATTAAATTTGTATATTGCCCTATAACTTTGGGCCTCAGGGCAGTTCACAAGATAAAATCAGAATATAAAACCGACCGACTATGCCCAGGAGGAAGGCCTCTGGTTTCTTCAAGAAGGTATATTTAAATACCCTTTTTAATTCATTATAAATCATTTCCCAGAAAACCTTGATCCTTGGGCACGTCCACCAAAGGTGAAAGAATGTACCTTCAGTTTCTTTACATTTCCAACATTTGTTATCGGGCAAATGGTAGATTTTTGCAAGCTTGACTGGGGTTATGTACCACCTGTATATCATTTTCATAATATTCTCTCTTAAAGCATTACATGCCGTAAACTTCGTACCTGTGGTCCACAACTGTTCCCAGTCAGCAAACATAATGTTATGTCCAAAATCAAATAATCAAATAATCAAAAACAACCCAGTAACCTCCCCTCCACCACCACTTGTACAGCGCCAGCAAAGAGTACCAAACTGCAATGACGGAAAATCAAAAAAGGTGACTTCAAAAAGAAAGCTTTTCCTTGCCCTTCATCAAAACCTAGCTATCAACTCACAAGGAATTGTCACAGAAATCTATAGATCACAAGTTGCTACCAAAAAATATCCCCTCAGGCCTGAAACAAGCAGAACCAAATGAGAACTCTCACCATGTGTAAGAAATAAAAAAAGGCCAGCACCAGTAATAAAAACAAACAAACAGAGTATTGAAGAATAAATGAAGGAGTAGAGGAGGTACACACAAGCCTGCAGCAAAGTTAACAGTGGATAAACCCTTGTAATGAGTGTGAGAATAGGGGCATTGCATAAATAGAATACCTCTATTTTTTTTATCCCGGAGGCTATACAGTGCAATACAATTGGGTGAAGGGAAATTCTAATTTTGTTTCTCTGGGTTACTTGGCACCAAGCCAAAGAAAATGATCCTTTGCATAGTGGTATGTGTTCAGTCCGAGTGCATTTTAAAGATCACTTTATAAAGATGTCTTGCCCCAGCGGCATGAGCAGGTTCAACAACAAAGCTTGCTGTAATAACGAAACAGCATTCCACCAACATTGCTGCAGTGCTGCTTAACAACAACCCGGCGATGTAGTCCGCTCCTTGATGCGAATGAGCACTTTGACTAAATTTAGCCCCCAGCATATGGAGGGGTGGTGGGAGCAGCTGCGGTGCCATATGAGGGTCAGAGAGAATGCTCCCACTTCCCCCTCCCCACGTAATTGTAAGGGGGAAGGGGGTGGAGAATACAGGACCTTGCCAGAAAAGGCAGTGACTGTTAAGACTGCAGAGGATCAAGCTGCTCAGATACAGATAGCACTGGGATCTTAACGCCTTCCTGAGAGTAAGCACCAGTGGATACAATGGGACATACAAAGCATTTGTAGGCTGAGATGCACCGGGAGAGGTGCAGAGGGAATCTGGGTGCAAGAAAGTGACAGAACGAGCAGAGTGGGAAGGTTGATGGGTGCAACTCTCTTTTGCTTCCTCCCCAGCCAAATCAAGCAGTTGGTTACGAAGCCTCATGCTCCATTGGCTTGCATGCAGACTGGTTGTACTTTTAAACGTTCACAAACACAAAACCCGGTGTTTTGATGCCAATTTGTTTTTCAACCTGGGAATCGCCACGCAGGAGCACCCTGCAACATTTAGCGGCTAACCCTGCTTGCCTCGTGCTCTGCTTTTCAGAGACGAGAGCTGCCTCTTACGTAGCCAAGGCTGCAACAATCGGACGTAAGAGGGAGGTAACCAGGGTAACCCCGATGTTTCCAGAAGTGCAGAAAATGGGAGGTGGGAGGGGAAACTGTAATAAGCACCCAGAACAGCCTGATGAATAAGCTAGGGGGGCAGGGGGTATGAAAGCCAGTTGGGAATGGAATAGAGTAGCTTGGGGAGAAAAATAAATGAAGAGATGCATAGATTTAAAGTTGTTGTTTAGTCGTGTCCGACTCTTCGTAACCCCATGGACCAGAGCACGCCGGGCACTCCGTCTTCCACTGCCTCCCGCAGTTTGGTCAAACTCATGCTGGTAGCTTCGAGAACACTGTCCAGCCATCTCATCCACTGTCGTCCCCTTCTCCTTGTGCCCTCCATCTTTTCCAACATCAGGGTCTTTTCCAGGGAGTCTTCTCATGAGGTGACCAACATATTGGAGTCTCAGCTTCAGGATCTGTCCTTCTAGTGAGCACTCAGGGCTGATTTCCTTCAGAGTGGATAGGTGTGATCTTCTTGCAGTCCATGGGACTCTCAAGAGTCTCCAGATATAAAGTAAGGTAAAGGTAAAGAGACCCCTGACCATTAGGTCCAGTCGTGGCCGACTCTGGGGTTGCAGCACTCATCTCGCTTTACTGGCCGAGGGAGCCGGCGTACAGCTTCCGGGTCATATGGCCAGCATGACTAAGCCGCTTCTGGCGAACCAGAGCAGTGCACGGAAACGCCGTTTACCTTCCCGCCGGAGTGGTACCTATTTATCTACTTGCACTTTGACGTGCTTTTGAACTGCTAGGTTGGCAGGAGCAGGGACTGAGCAACGGGAGCTCACCCCGTCGCAGGGATTCGAACCGCCAACCTTCTGATCTGCAAGCCCTAGGCTCTGTGGTTTAACCCACAGCGCCACCTGCGTCCCAGATATAAAGTACAGGCAATGAATCCTTCACCACCCGGCAGGCCAGTAGGAAAAGATACTGCAGTTCCTGCACTGCTAATAGCAATCTGAGGACAGCTGTCTTTGGAACACTGGGAGTGTGTGCTTTTCGCAGACACCCACCCAAGCCACTCCCTCCCCCTGTCAGGTGTCCCTCCCTGGAAATATTCTCTTTTGAGCTGGGATCTACTCTTCTGCCAAGGGGCAGGGCAGCTTCCATCAAACTCTGCCCTTGTGCACTGTGGCTAAACCACCAGGAGCTGCGCTACTGTTAGGAAAAGAAGCAGCAGTGAAGCCCGGACGCCCCAACTTTCTCCAGCTCGGTAGTGCTGGAAACTGAATAAACAACACAGCTACACCTTCCCAGTCTTGGTGGTGCTGCCTGTTCCTGGAAAAGAAAATGGGGGTGGGAAATGCAACCACAAAGCTTGTTTAGGACCAGCAAAGCTGCTGAGAACTTAAAACCGAGGGCTGCTGTGATGTGAGTGAAACAACAATTGCGGTATCTCAATTTAGGTGAGCGCCACAGCCACTGCGATAGTTTTATCCTGCTCCCAGACCCTCCAAGTGTCCCTGTTTTCCAGGGACAGTCCCAGATTTACAGAAGCCATCCCTGTTTCTGATTTGATCCCAGAATGTCCTGTTTTTCCTTAAAGGTAACGGTAAAGGGACCCCTGACCATTAGGTCCAGTCGTGACCGACTCTGGGGTTGCGGCGCTCATCTCGCTTTACTGGCCGAGGGAGCCAGCGTACAGCTTTTGTGGCCAGCATGACTAAGCCGCTTCTGGCGAACCAGAGCAGCACACGGAAACGCCGTTTACCTTCCCTCCGGAGCAGTACCTATTTATCTACTTGCACTTTGACGTGCTTTCGAACTGCTAGGTTGACAGGAGCAGGGATCGAGCAACGGGAGCTCACCCCGTCACGGGGATTCGAACTGCCGACCTTCTGATCTGCAAGCCCTAGGCTCTGTGGTTTAACCCGCAGCGCCACCCGTGTCCCAATTTTCATTGGAGAAATGTTGGAGGGCATGGAGTTATGCGACCCCACCGAGCCAAGGAGATAAGTAGCTATACAATCTTTAGAAGACATCTGAAGGTAGCCCTGTATAGGGAAGTTTTAAAACGTTTAATGGTGTATTATGTTTTTATAGATGTCAGGAGCTGCCCAGAGTAGCTGCAACAACCCAATCAGATGGGTAGGGAATAATAATAATAAGAATGGAATAGAATTTCTCTATTTTCATCGGAGAAATGTTGGAGGGTATCTTAGAATCGTAGAGCTGTAAGGGACCATGATGGTCATCGAGTCCAACCGCCAGCAATGCAGGAATCATTCACCCAACAGTGGGGTTCAAACCCACAACCCTGAGATTAAGAGTCTCATGCGCTACCAACTGAGCTATTGCAGCTTATGACAAGAGAAGGTGCCAACTAACACAAGGGGTTGACTCTGCGCCAGCTACTTTGGGTAGTCCCAGCATGCCTTGCTTGCAAAGCCCTCTCTCCTAAGAGCACTCAGCCTTGCTCCTATATCCAAGTGGGGGCAACTTTGAGCGTGCCCTGTTTGCTGCGCTGTGCCATTCCCATGCAGCCAAACACACACACACACACACACACACACACACACATCTCCACACAGAGCCAGCTGTGTGTGAGAGCATGTCACTTCCCTTCTAGAGGGCAAAATGCCTCGAGGAGAACATGGCGCCCGAAGCCTCGATTGCTGTGGGTACATTTGATGGAGGCAGAGGGGGCTCGATTGTTTAGCGGGATGGGGTTTGTAAAGGCACTTGCTTTGAGTATAATACTTGCACTAACTTCTATTGAGGGAACAGTGTGAGTCCCCGCAAAGTCCTTTCTCGAAGTGTCTTTGAAGCCAAGAACCCATTGAAAGGAAGAAAGCCCTGAAGAGGGGATTAGTTTGTTCAGCAGCTGTGAATTTCAGTGGGAGGTTGATGAACTCCAAAGTCTTTGTTTAATTTCTTCCCTCTTGTAAATGGCCCTGCTGGAGGGAAGAGACCCACAGGACTAAAACAAGGAAGAATCCGAGCAGCGGGGCGCTGTGTACCCGCCACAAGGACTTTTCCCAAACACTTTCGGGAAAAGGTGTTGTTGAAGAGAGCCAGTGGGGATTAGCATGTGAAATGGACTTTCCATTGACTCCGCCGTGGGGAGGGAGAAAGGCAGTTGGGTGTCTTGGTTATTGGACTTTTGTTCCCTCGCGTCACCCTCCTCTCGAGGCCTGCTAAAGAGGTTTTGATTGGGAGGCAGCTGGGTCTGTGTTGTCTCGCTCAAGATGTGGCCACCTGGGAAGCCCAATGTAAATATTTCTCCTCTCAGGAATGCACCTTCATTAAGGAGAAATGAATATGGGGAAGCATCCAATATGCAAGGACAATGGCCCGCTGCCTCGGCCGCTGGGAAGCCTGTTGCTCCGGCCGACCCCGGGCTGGCCCTGCACTGCTGTGAGGGGTCAACCCGCTCTGCAGCTGTGTTGCACCGGCATATGTGGCGCAGAAAGGAGCCTTCGGCCGAGTTCCCAGAGCCCCGTCTGCTTGGGCACCCGCCTGGAGGGAAACCGGACTGCGCTTCGCCAACAGGTGTCACTCTGCTGAATGGCACGGCTTGGAAGGCCGCAGCCCCCAAGCGCCAATTGTGTGGGGAAGAATACCAGCCGTGAAAGAGGGGGCCCCCGTGGACCAGACCGGGCTGGGCCTTTCTGCTTCCCAACACGGGTGGAAGGGCAGCGTCAGAGAGCTGCTGTCCCAGGTCCCCCCCCCTATCCTTGTGCCACCCCCTCCCCGCTTTTGCCTGTCGACTAATTGGCACCGAGACAAGGAAAGGGGAAGAAAACGAGCTTTTCAAGAAGGGGAGGGCGGCGCAGAAAAGTGATCTTTATTTCTCTGGCTCCGTTCTCAACGTGCAGCCCCTCTGAGCTTCTCAGGCGTGCTCTTTCTGAGGTGCAAAACGGGGTGGAGAAGGCCATTCTTGGAGAGGAAGCACGCAAGTCTACAAAAAAACAGGCCCAGCCTTGCTTCTTCAGATAATTTGTGAACATTCTCCACAAAAATGAAAGGGCCTGTGCACTTCAAGTTCACCTGTCCTCCCCCTGGAGTTGCTGCTTTACTCCCGCCGCAGTAAAAATGACAGGGGCAAGGGGTGATTCATGGCTTATCTGGGTCTCTCGACTCTCCCGGGCTGAACTCTTCAGTGGCCACAGGTAAAGGTAAAGGAACCCCTGACCATTAGGTCCAGTCATGACCGACTCTGGGGTTGTGGCGCTCATCTCGCTTAATTGGCCAAGGGAGCTGGCGTACAGCTTCCGGGTCATGTGGCCAGCATGACTAAGCCGTTTCTGGCGACCCAGAGCAGCGCATGGAAACGCCGTTTACCTTCCCGCCGGAGTGGTACCTATTTATCTACTTGCACTTTGACGTGCTTTCGAACTGCTAGGTTGGCAGGAGCAGGGACCGAGCAACGGGAGCTCACCCAGTCGCGGGGATTCGAACCGCCAACCTTCTGATCGGCAAGTCCTAGGCTCTGTAGTTTAACCCACAGCACCACCCGCGTCCCTCAGTGGCCACAAGCCACTCCTAAACCTGGTTTGGTGTTTTTTTAATAGCAGAACTCGTAATGCTAATTGCGCAGGACATCGCTCTTAAAATATTGCAGGACGGGCTAACCCACAGGAGTAGTTCTTGCCTGTTTGCAATTTCCCAGCAGTTCTTTTCTGCTGACCTGCACCTAGCAGATGGATATCTCAGTCTGAAGCAAACACTTAAAATAAAATAAAATGAAAATCTTTGTTTAAAAAGGGCCTCCTTTGTGGCCAAATGCGAAAGCTGGTTTGCATGGTTCTTGCACACTGGTTTGCCTGGGGTTTGCATGCCTTTTGTTTCTCCGATGAAAATGGGAGCATGAAAATAGGGACAGAACTACATAAATGGAATAGAAACTTATATAGGTATGCTACTACAGCAGCAAGAATGTTGCTTGCCCCAAAGTGGAAACAAGGAGAAGTCCCAGTAAAGGGAAGAATGGATACAAAATGGATATGCAGAAATGGCGAAACTTACCGGAAGAATAAGAAATCAAGATGACAAACTTTTAAAAAATGGTTTATTGAATATTTGCAGATAAATTGTAAACAGATAAAAACATTGGCAGGATTAGTGTAACAACCTTCAGTTTTATAAGAGTATATATTTCCAGTAGATAAATAAACGAGCAAGTTAAATGAACTTGGATATGCAGGGGGTATGACAAAATAAATGTAAGGAACCGCAGAAATAGGGGGAAGGGAGTCAAATTTTGAAATGTTAAATTGACTGCAGAACTAATGAAATGTATAAAATCGAAAAGTATAAATAAAAACTAAAAAAAGAAAACAGGAGCATCCTATGGACGCATATTTGCAGCTACATTGGTCATAGAATCATAGAATCATAGAATCATAGAGTTGGAAGAGACCACAAGGGCCATCGAGTCCAACCCCCTGCCAAGCAGGAAACACCATCAGAGCACTCCTGACATATGGTTGTCAAGCCTCTGCTTAAAGACCTCCAAAGAAGGAGACTCCACCACACTCCTTGGCAGCAAATTCCACTGTCGAACAGCTCTTACTGTCAGGAAGTTCTTCCTAATGTTTAGGTGGAATCTTCCTTCTTGTAGTTTGGATCCATTGCTCCGTGTCCGCTTCTCTGGAGCAGCAGAAAACAACCTTTCTCCCTCCTCTATGTGACATCCTTTTATATATTTGAACATGGCTATCATATCAACCCTTAACCTCCTCTTCTCCAGGCTAAACATGCCCAGCTCCCTTAGCCGTTCCTCATAAGGCATTGTTTCCAGGCCTTTGATCATTTTGGTTGCCCTCCTCTGGACACGTTCCAGTTTGTCAGTGTCCTTCTTGAACTGTGGTGCCCAGAACTGGACACAGTACTCCAGGTGAGGCCTGACCAGAGCAGAATACAGTGACACTATTACTTCCCTTGATCTAGATGCTATACTCCTATTGATGCAGCCCAGAATTGCATTGGCTTTTTTAGCTGCCGCGTCACACTGTTTGATCCATCTTTTAGATTTAGGGGAGCTAGTCTCAAACGTTTGTTGGGGGAGTTATTGTCACTGTGTGCCAATTGCAACCTCTCCACCTAACCTAGCCCCAGAGCCAAAATGAAGGCATTTGGCACTTGGCTTCAAAGGAGGACACAGCTCAATTGGTTAGAGCGTGGTGCTGATAATGCCAAGGTTGTGGCTTTGATACCCATATGGACCACTTGCATATTCCTGCATTGCAGGGGTGGGACCCTCATGGTCCCTTCCAACTCTTCAATTCTATGATTCTATGATAGAGCTGCTGGTCCTCAGGACCGGATTTAGGTTTCATGAGGCCTTAAGCCAGGGGTCAGCAACCTTTTTCAGCCGTGGGCCGGTTCACCGTCCCTCAGTCCATGTGGTGGGCCAGACTATATTTTGTTGTTTTTTTGGGGGGGGGGGGAAATGAACGAATTCCTATGCCCCACAAATAACCCAGAGATGCATTTTAAATAAAAGGACACGTTCTACTCATGTAAAAACACGCTGATTCCCGGACCGTCCGCGGGCTGGATTGAGAAGGTGATTGGGCCGTATCCGGCCCACGGGCCTTAGGTTGCCTACCCCTGCCTGAAACGACTGAAGGTAATGGGGCCTTTTGTATGTCGCTGTTTTTGTGTGTGTGTTGAATATATGCTATATGGTAATTTATGGACCTATGGTAATAGGTATCTGAAGCCATTTGCACATGTTGCCATGAAACCAGTCCATGCAGAATGTAGGCACCCTATACAGTGGTACCTCGGGTTACATACACTTCAGGTTACAGACTCCACTAACCTAGAAATAGTGCTTCAAGTTAAGAACTTTGCTTCAGGATGAGAACAGAAATTGTGCTCCGGTGGCGCGGCAGTGGCGAGAGGCCCCATTAGCTAAAGTGGTGCTTCAGGTTAAGAACAGTTTCAGGTTAAGAACGGACCTCCGGAACGAATTAAGTACTTTACCCGAGGTACCACTGTATATGGAAATGAGCAAACCAGTGATATTTTAGGGAGTAGGCTGGCAGGCGGGGCCCATTACTTACATCAGGCACGTCCTACAGGCAGATCATGATCTACCGGTAGATCAGTGGATGTCAGTGGTAGATTACTGGTAGATCACTGGCTACCCCCAAGGAAGTTCAACTAAAAAAAGCTCAACAACTTTGACCTGAACCCCCCAGATCACTGCCAGTCTTTAACTTTGTGAGTAGATCGCAGTATCTTGGGAGTTGGCCACCCCGACTTACATCATAGGAGCCTACACTGCACAAAACACTGTTGCTGTTGTAGGTTTTATTTTATTTGTTTTCTACCTTATATTTTGGAAATGTACATCCAGGTTTTTTTTCCTTTAATTTTTTTTGCCCCCCCCCCCCGAGAGTGGGGCCCTAAGCTATAGCTTGTTTAGCTTATACGTAAATCCGGCACTGATGGTCCTAAAGGAAACCAGGTACTATGGAGTGAGGCAGTAAGATATGGTTACAGAAGGGGAAAGAACGAGAAAACGTTCAGACACTTGTCTTTGTTAAATGGTTGCGCACCAGCCTGTCTGTGTGCAGAACAGTGGGTTCGTGTACTTAGTTCCACCCAGGGAGAGAAATTCCAGACCGCTTGAAATATTAGGTTGCGGGAGATGCAAAGAGGTTGAGGGAACGTTTTTTCATACGTGGTGGATGTGTAAAAGAGTAAAAGAGTATTGGGGAATGATACGTAATGAATTGGGGGGGGGGGGGAAATGTTCAAAAGTGCTTTCCCCAAAAAACCCAGAGTCCTTTCTGTTGGGGATAATTCAGACTGAATTTCCCAAGTGTCAGAAAAGCTTATTTATGTATGGCACTACTGCGGCTCATGTTTTGTTAACACAAAAATGGAAAACGAGTGAGGTCCCAACCAAAGAAGAGTGGCAACTTCAGTTGACAGAATATGCGCAGCTTGCAGACTTAACATATAGAATAAGAGAACAAGAAGATCATACGTTTAGAGAAGCTTGGAAAATGTTTATTGAATATATGGGAAATATACAGCTGAAAACGCTGGCAGCATTAAGAGAAATTCAACAGTGTAAATAAGCTTTGATGGATGCAATAATGGAATACTGAATGGTATCGTTTTTGTAAAATATGCAGGGATTTATGATATGCAAAATGAACCATGGAAAGAGAAGAAGGGAAGTCACTGACAGTTGTTTAAATGAATATTCTAAATTGTAGAACAGAAAAAAATATGTATGTGTGTGTGTGTGTGTGTGCGAGAGAGAGAGAGAGAGAGAGAGAGGTTGTGGGATCAATCACAAGGAGGAGAAATTTTGACTTCCTGCCTAACCTCCTCCCTCAGTACTTATGAAAGACTTTAGTTTTCTTGTAATTCACAGCCAACTGTTCTCTTTGTCAGTATCCTGAGAATGCCCTCATCAATCTTTTTAGGATCACGTTTGTTTGAGATAGAAGTACCCCTCTACTATTGTCCATGTTGGGTGGCTCAACCATTCCTACTGTGTCCTTTTCTTTTAGCAGATCAAGACAATCAGGTGATAGCAAAAACTGCAAGATTTTTCGCGGGGGGCAGTTAGAATAAGATCTATTATTTGATTATTGATGTAAACCTCCAAAATGTATTTTGTATAGTTAAGTTTTCACCTCTATCTTCAGTACATTTTTATTATTATTTTTATTGCTATGGCCAGTGGCTGATGCAAATACAGTGGTACCTCAGGTTACATACGCTTCAGGTTACATACGCTTCAGATTACGGACTCCGCTAACCCAGAAATAGTACCTTGGGTTAAGAACTTTGCTTCAGGATGAGAACAGAAATCGGGTTCCGGTGGCACGGCGGCAGCAGGAGGCCCCATTAGCTAAAGTGGTGCTTCAGGTTAAGAACAGTTTCAGGTTAAGTATGGACCTCCGGAACGAATTAAGTACTTAACCTGAGGTACCACTGTAAAGATGATTCTTCTACTACTTATGAAAGACTTGTGCTAGCCAACTGCCACCGCCAGAGGGAGCCTAGGAGATTTCCTGTGAAACCTTCCCTTTCTAAGGATGATTCCAGATGTTGGCTTAATCGTACAAAGGCTGCTGCAGAAACTTGTAAGATTTTCTGCAGAAAGGATAAATTCAGATTACGTGGGGAGGGAATACCAGGCTTGTTTATCCCAGAACAAAATGAGGATTTATACCTGCTTTACTTCCCATTAGTGGCATCCACATCACTTCCTCTCCTTCCCAGTGTCATTCCTGGATGTTCCCCCTATTTTAAGGCAGGGGTTTTCCCTCCAATCCTGGCCATCTTGGACTTTCCAAGGATTGCAAAACACCACTATACAGTGGTACCTCGGGTTACATACGCTTCAGGTTACATACGCTTCAGGTTACAGACTCCGCTAACCCAGAAACAGTGCTTCAGGTTAAGAACTTTTCTTCAGGATGAGAACAGAAATCGGGTTCCGGTGGCACAGCAGCAGCAGGAGGCCCCATTAGCTAAAGTGGTGCTTCAGGTTAAGAACAGTTTCAGGTTAAGTACGGACCTCCGGAACGAATTAAGTACTTAACCCGAGGTACCACTGTAGTAATGTGGAGTCAGGCTGGTGCAAATCCGCATTTTGCCCCACTACGGCAATCCCGCCGGCGGGCATTTGATACCCACAAAATGTGTTGATGCTGCAAAAAAGTCGCACGTGTGAGGAGCACCCAGACTGCAAGGAGCACCCATCTGAAAGCACCCTAAGACTACAGAGTCTTCCACTGGATCTTCCAGTGTTTCTTCCCCGTTTTATTGCAGACAAAGATCTGGTTCCTGGGAGTCCCGTGGCACTAACAACAGTAAGAACATGGGGAAAAACAAAGAGCTCCTTTTCCATCCTTTCCTCTTTCTCTTGTAATCATGAAATCCCAAGTGGGGAGCGCGCAGGTTGGAATTTTATTTCAAAAGGATGACTATTGAAAGCCAAAAAGATAATTGAGAACATCGTCGAGCAAAGGGAGGGCAATTCCAGACTGTCGCTATTTTGCAAGTGGGAATTCTAGCCCGTAGCAGCCAAGCCAGGTTAGGTTGCACAATTATCATGGATTTGGCACTCAACAAATCTTCTTATTTGGGGAATTTTTGCAGTTAGGAAAGTGTTGGGTAAAGTGGTTCACTGGAAAGTGTGAAATAACAATTGTGATGTCCTGTAACACCCACCAGAAACAAATAAGAATGAATGCTTCATAAACCTACAACATTGTGCAGCGGGCTGAAAAAATAGAAATTAAAAAATACCACACGGACATCTGAGTGTTTAGCAAGCACTTAGCTTTCAATTTATTTATTATAACCTAGACAGAGGTCTATTGACCAGTAATAGGTAGCTAGACTGGCTTTAATACTGAAAATTAACAGCAAAAGCTGAAACGACATAGATAAATTAATGCCTCCGGGATTAATCTCAGCAAGTCACATCCCAAAGTCCCATGAAAAAAGTTGTGTTGTGTAACCCATGCACAGCAAGGAGGGAAAAAACAAGCAAACCAGTTTTCTATCCAAAGTTACAAAGCTTCATCACTAGGCCTAATGGAGATACACAATCTAGACGGATAAACAGTTATGCATACGTATATCACAGTTAACTGTGCAATAAATAAAACTTCAAAGTGCTTAACTCTCCTATTTACAACATAATTAAATACCTTACTGGTGTTATCCATGCCGTCTACTAAGGGGAAGGGTTTTGTAAGTCGTAACATTATGAATAATAACAAAGAGGGTTTTAATAATTTCATCCTGCTCTGGAGTGACTGGGTAGGAAAGCAGTTTCACCCCCTCCCCTCAAATATAATGTCTAATGTGAGGCTGGGGGCTGAGAAAGCTGCTGTGCCGATGGAATACAAGCTGGTTTTGGACACAGCACCCTGCCTATCCACATAAGCTCAAAGTGTAGGCTGCTCAAATTTGGGTGTTTTTTTTTTCAACCCAAGAAGCAGTCTCCCTGTACCAGCAGCAGTTAGCGCTCAGATCAGGCCCCTGTTTGCTCTCCTTGGCATAGTGATGTATGGAAGTGAGAGCTGGACCATAAAGAAGGCTGATCGCCGAAGAATGGATGCTTTTGAATTATGGTGCTGGAGGAGACTCTTGAGAGTCCCATGGACTGCAAGAAGATCAAACCTCTCCACCATTCTGAAGGAAATCAGCCCTGAGTGCTCACTGGAAGGACAGATCCTGAAGCTGAGGCTCCAGGACTTTGGCCACCTCATGAGAAGAGAAGGCTCCCTGGAAAAGACCCTGATGTTGGGAAAGATGGAGGGCACAAGGAGAAGGGGACAACAGAGGATGAGGTGGTTGGACAGTGTTCTCGAAGCTATGAACAAACTGCGGGAGGCAGTGGAAGACAGGAGTGCCTGGCGTGCTCTGGTCCATGGGGTCACGAAGAGTCAGACATGACTAAACGACTAAACAACAACAACAAAAACAACGCTTGCCAGTGCAGACTTGTGGGGAACAACTCTCCTGCGATCAGTTCCTGGGAAGAAGCAGAGGGCTTTCTCCGCAGCATCGCTGGGAGAGATAAAGGGAGGAGAGAGTTGGCGAGGATCTTAACGGGGACAAAGAGAAGGCGCTGAAGAAAGCAAGAATGGATACTCCAGATGGACTGCCGAAAACATGAGAGAAGGAGTCATGGGATCTCGAAATCAGGACGTTTGAGACAGCAGCTGATTAAGAAGGTCAAATGGCACCCTGAAATTTTCCACCCAGAGCCTCTAAAACGCTTATTCACACTGCACTGCACTGTTGAGGGCTGCAGAGATTATTAAAGAGGCAGAGGATTCTCCCCGTGGCACAGAAGGTACGCCAGCCCAGAAGTGCTCAAAGAAAAATCCTTCTAATTCTCCAGATAATAAAACTCCAGATATTAAGTAAGCATTGAAAATAACACTCCCGTGTATTGAGATTTAGTTTATATTCCTGCATCAAAATTTCCTTCTTGCAATATTACATGTTTTCCATGGTGAAGATATGCAATGATCTCCATCGTTCATTTTTTGCTGAGGGCTTTCCAGAGGAGTAAAGGGTTTTTAAAAAAAATTTAGAGCTACACTTTTGCTATCTTCAGTCTAGCACCAGTCATAGTATAAACACCGACAACTGGGAAACACTGGCCTTCGAGTGCTCCAATTGGAGAACAGCCTTTACCAAAGGTGTCATGGGCTTTGAAGACATTCAAACTCAGGACGAGAGGGAGAAACATGCTAAGAGGAAGGCACGCTTGGCAAACCTTCACCATGATCAACTCCCGCCCGGAAACCTGTGTCCCAACTGTGGAAGGACGTGTGGATCCAGAATTGGCCTCCACAGTCACTTACGGACTCACTGTTAAAACTGTGTTTGTGGAAGACAATCTTACTTGGCTATGAGTGATTGCCAAAGAAGAAGAAGTCATGAAATATCTTATCCCCGCATTGTAATGGATAGGTTTGATGGAAGCCTTAGAGGGAGGGAGCTGTCAGGTCTTTTTTGTAAATGGGGCTGGGCGAGTCTAGCTAGGGTCTAGCCCCTACAATTTGGCACCATACAAGGGGGATCTACACTGGGCTCTGCTTTCCCTGTGGATCCTGCCGCCCGAGGCAGTCTCCCCATCTTGTCCTATGGGTGGGCCGGCCCTGGCTGAGGAGCCTGCAGACAGCAAGGAAAGGAATTATTAGAATAGCCTTTCCCAAGCTAGTGCTCTCCAGATGTTTTGGAGTACAGCTCCCATCATCCATGACTCACGGGCTATGCTGACTGGGTATGATGGGAGTTGTAGTGCAGAATATATGGAGGGTACCAGTTTGGGGAAAGTTGGGTGCTCGTGGAATAGCTTTACTGCTTTTCAGTAGTTTTTTTAAGCACTAGACGAACACTGCAGCATGCACAGGGAGCATGTGTGCATAAGATCTGAGAACATAAAAGTTCGCAAAAAGGCATGTTCTCTTTGTCTGTTTCGGTGTCATTTGTCATAAATGAAGCCACTATCCAAGTGGAATTTGGCTCCCACTACAGCTGCAAAAAGCTACAACGCACTATTGGGAGAAGAACGGCATTTTCCAAGTACAAAAGCCTTGATCACTTGAGTGCCGTGAAAATGTGATATCCTCACCCCAGAAGAACTATACTGAGAGAAGATGTCTTGACCTGACGGCTGACTGAGCAATGAATGTAAAATTATCGTGCCAAAAAACATAACAGAACAATCTCTCATCACCTGGTAAGGCCATGAGATTATAATTTTTTTTCCTGATTCTAAGGAACAGTGTGTCCATTTTTTTTCCCCCCGGCACATTGTAGCAAATTGATGAGTGATGGAAATGTATTTCCATTAGGGGGCACCCAAAACAGAAGCTGTATCCTTCCTTTTTCACCCATGTTTGTCTCTCCTTTCACCTTCCACTTCAGAACTGCATTCCTTTCCAACTGAGACCAGTTCCTGGTTCCTATTCCCTCCCTGAATGTGCAACGTAGTCTGCCACTCCTATTTCCTGTTCCTCCTGGCCCGTCAAGGTTCGTTTCAGCGTTCAGGGATCCCTAACAGTGCCCTTTTCCTGAGGAGCCACTCAAAACTATTGGCTTCCCTGAAATAAAACTCTTTTTAACTCACTTCACTCCTCCCTGATTCAGCTCTCACAATAAAAGGGCTAATCAGGTTCTGCAACAGAGGTCAGAGAGAGAAAAAGACCCTTACTTTTTATTTTAAAAAAGTGGGTGGGTAGCTGTGCTTTTCTCACACCTGGAGACAGAAGCATGGTCCTGATCCCAGGTATGTACAGTGGTACCTCGGGTTACATACGCTTCAGGTTACATACACTTCAGGTTACAGACTCCGCTAATCCAGAAATAGTACCTCGGGTTAAGAACTTTGCTTCAGGATGAGAACAGAAATAGTGCTCCGGCGGCACGGCAGCAGCAGCAGCAGCAGCAGGAGGCCCCATTAGCTAAAGTGGTGCTTCAGGTTAAGAACAGTTTCAGGTTAAGAACGGACCTCCGGAACGAATTAAGTACTTAACCCGAGGTACCACTGTACTGGAATGTGGAGTTCAAAGCTAATAGCAAAGGACACAGAGGGAAGCTATCCTTGAAGACAGCACATAGAGCAACATGACTCAAACACACTTGGAATTTCCTGCCTATGTAAGCAAGCTCTGCAGATGTGGAATCTTGGGTAAAAAAAGTCTTAGATTGGGTGGATGTTTTGTAGCTTCTGTTAAGGGTAGGATGGCCTCTGAGGTCGCAGCAAAGGACCATGTGTTTCCTTACTTGGAAAAGAAACCCAATTCTTGGGTCCAACAACAAATCCGCTCCAGTGGTATGCGGTCAGTGGACTAAGCTAGTCCCCTAAATGTTCCCGGTAAATCAGAGTATTATAGTATTATAGCCTGCTGCCTCCTTCCCAAAGCCCAGGAAGCCTTTGCTTGGCTCAGTGAGGGGTATCTGACGCTCCGACGGGTCCAAGAGACATTCCCCCACCTTCCCAAAGCCCACCCAGCTTTGGCAAGGAGGCAGCAAGTTTCAGCATCCTGGCAGAGGCCTAACACCTCCTTTGCAAAGTCTAGGAAGCTTCTGCCCAGCTTAGGGAGAGAGGCATGATGCTCACACGCAGGACATTGAAATAATGTATGTCCAATCTCTCTCTCTCTCACACACACACCCTCACAAACTGTTGCCTCTGGCCCTAACTGCTCCCCTATGAAAAATTGCACCACGCACGACAACTGTCTGCAGGGGCGCCTGGAAACTTCATCTTTGCTGGAATGCCTGTGAGCTCCCTCCCTTTGGGCTTCCCCAGCTACAGTGGTACCTTGGTTCTCGAACTTAATCCATTCCAGGAGTCTCTTCGACTCCCGAAACCATTCAAAAACCAAGGCGCAGCTTCCGATTGGTTGCAGGAGCTTCCCGCACCCAAGCGGAAGCCGCGCTGGACATTCGGCTTCCGGAAAGCGTTCGCAAACCGGAACACTTCCTTCTGGGTTTGCGGCTTTCAGGAGCCGATTCGTTCGACGACTAAGCCTTTCGGCCACCAAGGTACCACTGTACGGGGTCGTTGGTTCTAACTTAAATACTATCCAGAAGTGAAGAAAAATCGGAGGGGGAGGAGGTTGGCAGGGGGCTGGTATTAGGGCTGCTTCCTCTTGAGTTTGCGGGAGGCCGCGCTGCCCCCACCACGTTCCCGCTTCTCCTTGCGCACGCAGTAATATTTGGTGACGCGCTTGCGGCACTGCTCGCACCGGACGGCGCAGCACCAGTGGAACTTGCAGTTGCAGCTGGACACCATCTCGGCTCGCCGCTCCTCCACGGCCAGCCCACAGTCCCCGCACAGACGCTGACAGCTGCGCTTCTCCCACTTGCTCAAAGCCTTGCCCCTCTTCAGGCACTCCCGGCCCTCCGTCCCCAGCAAGCCCAGAGTCTTGTTCTCCAGGCAGTAGTCAGGGGAGTCCTCCAGGTGGACCAGCTCCTTCTTGGAGATGGAGCTGAAGGTTTCTGCAATTGCCCCCCGGCTGGCGGCACTGTTGCCTGCCCCTTGGAGCAAGTCGACTTTCAGGCCTTTGTGGTACTTCTCCTTCAGGTAGGTCCCTACTTCTCGAAACTCGGGCAGCTGCAGCCAGCAGGTCTGCGTGGTGCAGCTGCCGGATACTCCGTGGCATTTGCAGGTCCTCTTCATGGTCCCTTTCACTGCCTAGAGAGGAAGGAAAAGACAAGAGGGAATGCCATGCAAGAAGGCTCTGGTCAGACCTCACCTGCAGTACTGTGTCCAGTTCTGGGCACCACAGTTCAAGAAGGACACTGACAAACTGGAACGTGTCCAGAGGAGGGCAACCAAAATGGTCAAAGGCCTGGAAACGATGCCTTAGGAGGAACGGCTAAGGGAGCTGGGCATGTTTAGCCTGGAGAAGAGGAGGTTAAGGGGTGATATGATAGCCATGTTCAAATATATAAAAGGATGTCACATAGAGGAGGGAGAAAGGTTGTTTTCTGCTGCTCCAGAGAAGCGGACACGGAGCAATGGATCCAAACTACAAGAAAGAAGATTCCACCTAAACATTAGGAAGAACTTCCTGACAGTAAGAGCTGTTCGACAGTGGAATTTGCTGCCAAGGAGTGTGGTGGAGTCTTCTTCTTTGGAGGTCTTTAAGCAGAGGCTTGACAACCATATGTCAGGAGTGCTCTGATGGTGTTTCCTGCTTGGCAGGGGGTTGGACTCGATGGCCCTTGTGGTCTCTTCCAACTCTATGATTCTATGATTCTATGAAGGCCAGGTGGACCGGAAGCCAATCCCAGGGCCGGATTTCGGTTTGATGAGGCCCTAAGCTACTGAAGGTAATGGGACCCTTTATATGCCCTTTGTCAACAACGAATTGCCACTGTTTTTTGTGTTGAATATATGCTATATGGTCAATTCTGTACCTAATAGTTATCTCAAGCCATTTGCACATAACAAAATATGTATTTTATCAAAGCAATTGCTTTTTATCTTATATTTTGGAAATGTACATCCACTTTTTTTCCTTTAAATTTTTTTGGGGCCCCCAAGACAGTGGGGCCCTAAACTATAGCTTATTTAGCTTATACGTAAATCCGGCACTGGCCACTCCCCAGCCCAAGTTCAGTAAAAAGGTAAGGTAAAGGACCCCTGGACGGTTAAGTTCAGTCAAAGGCAACTGTGGGGTTGCAGCGCCCATCTCGCTTTCAGGCCAAGGGAGCTGGCTTTTGTCCACAGACAGCTTTCTGGGTCATGTGGCCAGCATGACTAAACCGCTTCTGGTGCAACAGGACACTGTGACGGAAACCAGAGCGCATGGAAACACTGTTTACCTTCCCGCCACAGCGGTACCTATTTATCTACTTCACTGGCGTACTTTTGAACTGCTAGGTTGGCAGGAGCTGGGACAGAGCAACAGGAGCTCACCCCGTCGAGTGGATCCAGACCACCGACCTTCCGATTGGCAAGCCCAAGAGACTCAGTGGTTTAGACCACAGCGCCACCCGTGTCCTGCGAGTTCAGTATCTAGAACTAGAAGACTTTTGACGGAAATGGATCATAATTTTCTACCTGAAAGGGAGGGGGTACTTTGCAACTGTTTTGCAAAACTGTTCCATCGGTGGTCAGAGTCTTCCTTCCAATTTCGACAGAAATTTATGAATGGCAAACCTGCTGACATTAAATTCTGGAGCCTTCAGGAAACTTGCCAAAGTGTTTCTCTGTATCAAGCCATCCATCTGAATTGGCTGCTCCAGAGGAGGCTACCTCATCAGGAAGAAGGCTAAAGGATACCCATCTCCTCCTTCAATCTTTTTCATTTGCCATAGGTGGAAAATGTGTCGTTACCTTTCTGCCTGCCTCATTGTTATGCAGGTTCATCGCTGCTCTGGCGTCCTGCCCTGTCTCAAGTGCGTCCACAAACTGCTTTGAAATGGCCTCCCCAAAGCCCACGTTGTCGCTGCAGCCGCCCCACAGCCACCCTTGTCCTCCTGTTGGAGAGAGAGAGAGAGAGAGATGTCATCAGATACCGTATTTTTTGCTCTATAAGACCCACTTTTTCCCTCCTAAAAAGTAAGGGGAAATGTGTGTGCGTCTTATGGAGCGAATGCAGGCTGCGCAGCTATCCCAGAAGCCAGAACAGCAAGAGGGATTGCTGCTTTCACTGTGCAGCGATCCCTCTCACTGTTCTGGTTTCTGAGATTCAGAATATTTTTTTTCTTGTTTTCCTCCTCCAAAAACTAGGTGCGTCTTGTGGTCTGGTGCATCTTATAGAGCGAAAAATACGGTATATGGAGTCAAGAGGCAGGCAAGCTTCTTTCAGTCCTTTCATCCTCATGGTGAGTGTTACAGCTGCAGCCAGAAAAGAGCTGGATTCTCAATAACGAGATTTGTTTTAGGGGCAATAACAAATTCCACAACCCCCAGAGTGGTTTAACAATCAAACCCATTTTGTGGGGAACTCCAGGAATTGTATCTTTCCAAGGGGAAATAGGCGACTCCTCGCAAACTCTCAGCACCCTTAATAAACCACAGTTCCTGGGATTCTTTGGAAAAAGCCGCGACGGTTTCAAGTTGTCTGAGTGAGTGCATTGAATTGTGCAGGAGGTTGAACTAGATCACCTCCAAGGTTTTTCTCCCATCCCTAGGATTCTATGAAAATACACCATTTCTTGCAGAATACTGAAGCTACAGTCCTATGTAACCTGGTGGGAATAATTTCCACTGAATTCAGAGGGACTGACTTCTGAATGGACACACATAGGATTGCACTCACTGCCATAGCACTGATAGGGGAGAATCAATTCTGCACAGTTTTCTAGCTCAGTTGGTTAGAGCATGGTGCTGATAACAGCAAGGTCACAGGTTTGATCCCCATATGGGAAAGCTACATATAAACTACAGGATCCTCAGGGACCCTTCCAACTCTGATCTATGATTCTAATAAAGCGAGGACGTAGAGAAGGGCAAGAAATATTATGTTTGGATTGGCAGTTTTGCTTCTCTTGCAATAAGAATGGTCACAAGAGTAGGGTGGCCATACGTCCGGATTTTTCCAGACATGACTTGGATTTCAAAGGCAGAATCGATGGGGGGGGGCGGGGTTCCAAAAGGCAGCACTTTGTCCTGGATCTTAGGCAAGCGAATTGAAAAAGCTCTACAACTTTTGGGATGTCCTGGTTTTTTTACTTTTTGAAATATGGCAACCCTACACAAGAGTCCTTACCAAGTTGCCCGTTGCGTGAATCATCGCATCCACAGTTGTCAAAGTCGCCAAGGCTGCAATTGCGTGTCAGTGTGTACATGACTCCAGCGGAGCTGATCGCATGGACAAAGGCTGTTTCTCGGTTTGCTGTCAAACGAAGACACAGGAAAAAGGAAACTAAAGGAGGTGCAAGACAGGATACGGCAGCAGCTCCTGTGATTTGGAGCATCCTGAACAGTAAGGCTGAAACTTGGACTTGTAAAAGGATGAAAGAGTACTGTATTGGGAAATGATCCATACTGAATTGAAAAAAAATGTTTTAAGGTAAAGGTAAAGGTACCCCTGATGGTTAGAGGTCCAGTTGCAGATGACTCTGGGGTTGCACGCTCATCTCGCTCTATAGGCCGAGGGAGCCGGCTTTTTTCTGCAGACAGCTTCCAGGTCATGTGGCCAGCATGACTAAGTCACTTCTGGCGAACCAGAGCAGTGCATGGAAACGCCGTTTACCTTCCCGCCAGAGCGGAACCTATTTATCTACTTGCACTTTTGACATGCTTTCGAACTGCTAGGTTGGCAGGAGCAGGGACAGAGCAACGGGAGCTCACCCCGTCGCGGGGATTCGAACCGCCAACCTTCTGATCGGCAAGTCCTAGGGTCTGTGGTTTAACCCACAGCGCCACCCTTGAAGCCATCTAGATTGCACTAAAAAAACCAAACCTGTTAGAGAAAACAATACACAGAGCGTACTGTTTGGCTTTTGGTTCTCTACATTTCTCTCGGGTGGCAGTGCCGCTGATAGGTCACAGCTGGAGGTACAGATGTGCAAAGATAAGCAAAGCAGCCGGATTTGGTAACCACAGCCCTTTTTTCCTTTAAAAAAACACATTTAGGGGTACTCTCATTTTGACTCAAGAAAATCACCATCTTATAGTTCAAATCGGGGGAAATGAATACAGTAAATGGACAAAAGTACAAAGAACGTGCATTACTCATTTTGAAAGACTGACCTTCAATGAAATCAAACTTTAATCAGCAAAACACCACACGTCCACATTCCACACTGCTTCACACATTAAACCATGGGTAGGCAAACTAAAGCCCGGGGGCCGGATCCGGCCCAATCGCCTTCCAAATCCGGCCCGGGGACGGTCCGGGAATCAGCGTGTTTGTACATGAGTAGAATGTGTGCTTTTATTTAAAATGCATCTCTGGGTTATTTGTGGGGCCTGCCTGGTGTTTTCACATGAGTAGAATGTGTGCTTTTATTCAAAATGCATCTCTGGGTTATTTGTGGGGCATAAGAATCCGTTCATTTTTTCCCCTTCAAAATATAGTCCGGCCCCGCACAAGGTCTGAGGGACAGTGGACCGGCCCCCTGCTGAAAAAGTTTGCTGACCCCTGACGCTCGCTTCTGTATGCGACTCAGGAAACACCTGGAAAGGAATGAAGGTGGTAACAACAATCAGAGGTAGTAACAACGGAACTGACAATTCACCGTGCTAGAGAAGAAACTATTTTTTAATTTTAAAAATTGTTTCTTCCCCATTAGATTCACAAAATGTTAAGGGTTCTGCATACCCCTGCGTACCCCCAGGAAGAAAAGCACATATTTGGCTAAAGCAGCGGTTGGCCATAGCTTTTTCTCCTCAGCTCCCCTGTTGTGTAATAGATAGATCAATTGCCAGGGAACTAGATTATGTCAGTGATGGTTGTGAGATCATAAAAGCTTCTTCCTTGGGTGACTGCGTCTTTAAAAGGGCACATAAACTCTGGAGTTAAAAGCATCCTTAAATCCCCTTAACAGCTCCCATGGGGCTGGTCCTATCTTTAGACTGAGCGAGGCAGTTTCCTGGGTGTCATGAGCTGGTTGCAAATTGTTAGTTATTTAATGCATTGCCATCATATTTGTATTGCCAGAGAGGGAGGGAGGTGCTTGTGGGGTTTTCTACCTCAGGGGCTTAAAATAATTTGACCAGCTTTGGTGCTGGACCAACTTGAGTTAAGGGGGGACCCGTTTGGGGGGGTCACTTCAGGCAAGGGACGTGGGTGGCACTGTGGGTTAAACCACAGAGCCTATGACTTGCCGCTCAGAAGGTCGGCGGTTCGAATCCCCGCGACGGGATGAGTTCCCGTTGCTCGGTCCCTGCTCCTGCCAACCTAGCAGTTCGAAAGCACATCAAAGTGCAAGTAGATAAATAGGTACCAGCGGGAAGGTAAACGGCGTTTCCGTGTGCTGCTCTGGTTCGCCAGAAGGCTCCGGGCAACCCTCCTGACATTTTCTTACCACTACGCAGTCCTCCGTGGCTGGAGAGTTGCAAAGCTCTCTCTGGGCAGTTCCAGCGATCCCAAGCAAACTGGAACTTGCATTCCTCAATCCCACTCTGTGCTCCGGCCGCAACGCTGCTGGAATAGATGAGGTATGCCTGCAGGGAGGAAAGGGCAAAAGAGGAGCTTCCACAAGGGGACATGCAGAGATTGCCATGCCTTTGAAACCTCCCTCTAAGAGTTCAATCCTTGCCTGACAAAGGAAACCCTATTTGTATCCTCAGCAGCAAAATGGGACTTAGCATCATTGTCTCCTGGGAGGCCCAGGAAGTGCGTGGCTATGTGCTCAAGTCCAGGAGACTTGTCTGACTGTGTCCAGGGTTCGAGTCGACAGAGATAAGATTGTACAGTGAATTTGGTGACATCTTCCATATTTAACATTCAACCAGTAAGCGACGAATTCAACAAACAATTCCATTAGAAGCTGAAAAGGCGAAACAGGGCATGATCTGAATATAAAGTACTAAAATGAGAAAGTGCAGCTTCCTAAACCACTCATTCCAGGGCTTTCGGAATGTCTCGCCTGCTACTCCTCCTTTAGATTACCAAGAGGATTTTCTTCCTTTGAACTGGGTCTTAAGTGCCTTCTTTTTTCCTTGCATTGAAAAAAAGGACGTTGAATTTTCAGGGCTGTGCTGAAAATTTATCCCAGTTTTTCTCCATCCTGGTGATCCTCGGATGAAGGGCGGTAGAGAAATTTAATTATTAATAACAAAATAATAATTGCAGAGGAGAGTGTTGGGGTGTGTGTGAAATTCCTGTGGTTGGGAGGGAGATAAGTTGGGTTTTTTTTTCAGATCAGGCAGTGCGGTCAGTTTAGGGAGGCTGGAGAAATGTTTAAACATGACACTGAGGTAAGTTCAAAACCCCACGACGACCCAAATTTCAGCCAAGAAATGTTCAAGTGCCCTCAGAATGAGGCAGACAAATCGAAGTCTCAATCACAGGAGAGGAAAACGTACAAGAAATTGGAGAGTCGTGGATGCTTTAGCTGAGATTTATGCATTGCAGGGCGTTGGAACAAAGGACCCCGGGGTCTTTTCCAACTCTACAGTTCTATGATTCTAAGATTTTATGGTGCACCGCAGCCCAGCACTAGTTCTGGCACAGAAGGCTGCTTTGCCTGACCTGGAAATAAAAGCAAAAAAGCAGCAGGACAGAGAGGGAAAGGGCTTATTGAGCCAATGCGCATCAGACCCTACTGGTCCTTCCTCAGGAATTTCAAATAAGAGGAATTCGAAATCTGGATGTGCTAGCTCTTCTGTCTCCTCTGGGTAAGAGATAGAAGGGCCAGCACATACCCTCCAATATTTCTCCAATGGAAATAGGGACGTCCTAAAGAAAAGTGGGACATTCCAGGATCAAATAAAAAACTGGGACGGCTTCTGTATATCCAGGACCGTCCCTGGAAAACAGGGTCTCTAGCAGCACATAGGGACTTTGAATTACTGTTCTCTCAACTTCCCTGAAGAAGGACCAGTAGAATATGGAACCCTTTGGATCAGGATCAATACCACCATTTACCACATAGGTGTTTTGTTCATTTGTTTTGTGTTTTAGTTAGTTTGCTCCCGTTTTCTTTTTGCAGGTTCCCTGACCTGGTCTATGTGCTGGGCTTTCCCTGACCTGGTCTATGTGCTAACTGCATGGCTGAGCCAGACCCCACACTGTTGAGAACTGCAGAGCCTCTCGTTTGTGTCGTTTGCTAACTTCCCACTTGGATCATGCTTTCTCCCAGCTTCTTAATCCACCTCCCAGCCCAGCCCCCAAACAGCAAACCTGTCAAGTACAGCCAGACTTTTATCTAGACTCTTCAGATGTTTGGCCCCCTCCTCAACTCCCCACCCCCTTTCCATTCCTTCCTTTTACTTCAGGGGGCCAAGTTCAATATGGTGTTTTCCTCTATGAAACAGTATCGGTGGAGGAAGCCCTATTCAAAGTCTTCAAGGCAGGCAGCTGTGTTTGCTTTTGCTGCAACAGACGGACCGGCAGAGCAGCTTCAATGGGGCTTACTCCTAAGTAAGTGTGCATAGGATTACAGCCAAAGGGCCCCTTCAAATCTCCTTCTTATTAGGCACCCAGGAATTTTTGTGCTTAAGATGCTACAGGAATGGTCACATGCAATCCACTTTTAATACTGTTTGCATCTGCAAACTTTTTTTGGGGGAGTCACACTGCTTCGCTTCCAAATCAGGGCATATCGCATAAGAAATCTGGTAAATTTTATGCCGCAAATGTTCTCGTTTCTTTACAGTGGTACCTCCTGTTTTGCAGGGGATCCATTCTGGAGCTCCAGATGGATCCCGAGGTGTGCTTACCTGGAGGTGCCACTTCTGCGCATGCGTGTGGTGCGGTTTAGTGCTTCTGCACATGTGTGTGGCACGTAGAGCGCTTCTGCGCATGTGCGTGTGGCGAAACCCAGAAAAATATTTCTGGGTTTGCTGTGTACATATCCCAAACGATACATAACCAGAGGTGAACGTAAGTAGAGGTACCACTTTATTTTGTTTTGCTTTCGTTCCGCTATTGCCCCTCCAGAAGGCAATAATGTGGAAGCATTGAGGAAGCACTGCAGAACACACGAAAGCAAAATAAATCTACCGCCAATGCACTGTTGCAGAATACACAGGTGGGGAGAGCCCAATTTTGTGGTGTTTGTTCAGAGCCCCCAGTCGTTTTACTGACTATTGACCTGTACACCACTGCTTTATTCTTCTGCTGCCACCAACCAGGTTTCTTCTGAGTCTCAGTCAGGTTGTAAAGTCAACAATGAAGATTAAAGTTTATTGAAGAACAAACAAGTTTTAAATATGTTCAGAACGGTTTCTCAGATGTGCGCCCTTAACTAGATGTGGCACTATCTCACACTGTCACACTCTTCTCTCTCAGTTCCATCCGTCTTTCACTCTAACTGTCCCAACCACCACTATGTTCGACTTTTACTGCCTCTGTCTGACCCTCACTCCTGTATCTAAAAGATTAAGCAGGTTTTTGTAGCAAAATGCCAGCGCTCGGAACATCACCCAGGAGATTGCGACTAGAGAAATAAGAAGAGTTGTTCTGTTGTCTTGAGATGCCACTTCCTGGTTTGCCTGGAGAAGCCATTTTCAACAGAGCTCAGCAACAGAAGTATTGAGGCAGTGCCGGGTGTTGCAATTTTGTGCCCCTGACCATTTTGACGCCAGGGAAACTGCCCCTGTGGGTCCCCCCATGCTAGGCCACTAAAACTCAAGAAGCTTATGAGGCTGTTAGCTCAAGGAACTGTTCTTGTATTTGCTAGATTGCATTTATATGTTGACCTGCTCCATTTTATACTTGACATCTCTGGGCTCGATCAGGTGATGCTTCCACACGCCCCTCAACATGGCTGTTGTTGGCATTTGTCTGTCTTGAGAGAGAATGGAGTGCGCCTCCGGGGGTAAATCACTGTGTTGGCAACACAGAAGTGACCTTCCTGGGGAACAAGTGTGTCTGGAGGTCCTGGGCTGCTCAGACGACAAGACCCCCCACCCTCAGCCTCGCTGATTTGGTCCAAAGGAAAGCAGAGCAATTCCACAGCATGGAAATTAGCATTAAGGTAAAGGTAAAGGGACCCCTGACCATTAGGTCCAGTTGTGACCGACTCTGGGGTTGTGGCGCTCATCTTGCTTTATTGGTCAAGGGAGCCGGCATACAGCTTCTGGGTCATGTGGCCAGCAGGACTAAGCCGCTTCTGGCGAACCAGAGCAGTGCACGGAAATGCCGTTTACCTTCCCGCTGGAGTGGTACCTATTTATCTACTTGCACTTTGACGTGCTTTTGAACTGCTAGCTTGGCAGGAGAAGAGACCGAGCAATGGGAGCTCACCCCGTCACGGGGATTCGAACCGCCGACCTTCTGATCGGCAAGTCCTAGGCTCTGTGGTTTAACCCACAGCGCCACCCGCGTCCCTAATACATGAAAGGTGCAAGAATAGGGACCAATAAAATAATAACCAAAAAAGCCAGCAAACTGGTAACCCTAGCACCAGAGCTTTTTTCAGCATCTCTCAGGTGGGTGCCATTGCCATTATAAGAGAACAAGGGAAGCATTCATGGTGAGTTCCGGCACCTCTTTTTCTAGAAAAATAGCACTGCTTAGCACTATGCGTAAAGTTCAAGGCCTCAGCTACTATGGTGTAGAAGAGTTGAATCTGGACTTTAGCAACTTGGATTCAAATCTCTGAAACCTGCCCAGCCATAAACCTCTTTGGATTGCCTTGGACAGGGATGTTGGGAAGATAGAATTTGGGGACGGGGGACGGGGAATACTGCCCTGAACTCTTTAGTAAAAGAGAAAAACAGCTTCTTTCCTTGCTTTTTGTGCTTAAGATTCGGCACTCAAGAGACAGAGAGTGCAGGGAGCCCCTGTCCAAACCTTAGCAAACCTGGGAGGCTGGAAACAAGCCTGATTCCCAGCCGATTTTGGCTTGTTGGAATTAGAAACACAGATCAAAGGAAACGCACTTACCTTGGGACCAGTCATCAGGAAATTATTCACTGACCTGGAAGGGAGGGAAAGGGTTCATCAATGGAGAGAAGCAGAGGGAATGCCTCGAATTCCTCTGTGCCACCCCTGCCCAGCCCTCGGAGAGTCGTCCCACTTACTGAACCAAGCGCATATGCCCATTGTTGCCCAGCAGGCACTGGTGAAGGTTCATTGGGGCTGCGAGCCTCTCCCTGTCCTGATTCCTTGCCTAAAGATAGTTACGATACGATACGATATGATATCTTTATTGTCATTGTCCCATGCAGAACAATGAAATTGAAAAACTACGGAAAACTACATAAAAACTACATAAAACTACTACAAAACTACATAAAACATTCAAAAACCCCTAAAAACTCTGTAACCCCATTTTAAAATACACTATACTATAGAGACCCCTTATGCTGCGTTTAGAACCAGAACTGCATTAGCGTACAAACTGTTTTTCAGGCGGCGAGTCCTGGCCTTTATAACCCTATACCTTCTTCCAGAAGGCAGAAGCTGAAAGAGATCATTTCTGGGCTGCGTACTATCATGTGCTATCTCTGCCACTTTCTTATGGCACCTGGCAGCATAGATTTGATCTAAGGTGGGAAGAGTGCACCCAATAATTCTCTCTGCAGTCTTTACAACCCTGGATAGCATTGTTTTTTCCCTGGCCGTGCAGCTCCCAAACCACACGCACAGACCATAAGTTAATACACTCTTCACAGTGCAATGGTAAAATGCCATCAACAGGTCCTTTGAGCCCCTATAACAAATAAAAATGACATTTGCTGCCTGAACACTTGAAAACTAAGTGAGAAACTAAACACGTAAGAAATCAGAAGGTGGCCCAGATTTACAATTTAACAGAGATAACGAAATAGAATATAAAATCGTCTGAAAATGTTGAAAATGCAATTTTTCCTGTTGAAATGTGGTATCAAAAACGGAGCTTTTCAAGTGAAATTTGAGCAGTTCCACCTATGCAGAAAGATTTGCCAAAACGTAAGAGGCGATAGTATCATTGTACCCCAGTAAGACCTCCTTTTCAAGCCTTCCTTGACCGCATAGGAAAAAGGGAAACAACCCCCCAAGAGTCACTGTGGATGGGACAAGAAGGAACAGAAATGTATATGTATCTGGAAAGTGTTCCCCGCTAGAAGATCTGGGTAATTATTGCAGTTGCTTTTAGCTTAATAGGTGCGTCTGTTGATATGGAAACAGACCTTTACCCAGCGCAGATGAGGGCGAGGCAATGCTACCCCTAAATGTAAGTTTATAATGAATTTATAAAGCTTTGCATCTCTCCACCATAAAACTGAAATAAACTTCATGTGGGACATGCAAAGAATAGACCGCCAGAACCAACTGTGAAACCCAAGAAGAATGCTTTTATCCCCCAAGCGATTCTCCAATCCCGATCTCTCAGGTTTCCTTGCTGATTTTCATCACCCTCCCATAATGGCCCCGTTCAGATGACCATATCTCAGCCTCATAAATTCAGGTATCCATTTTCCATGTTGTGTAGCACACACCTTTGCCCCTCCCTACACAATATGAGCAATCAAATTAGGAAGCCTCTAAAACTTCCCATTTTCGTCCAAACTGAACAACCGGTTCCCAGTTTAGGAACCAAGCCAGGATATTAAAACCACAGTTGGTTTGAGCTCCTGGCTTGATCTGAAACCGGGAACCAGTTTCCCAGTTTGGACAAAAGGCGAAATGATGTTTCTTGATTTGATTGCTTGTGCCGTGCAGGAAAGAGCAAAGGTTGCTGCATTCAAGTTTGCACCCTTTGTCAGGAAAGACTACGATGGAAATATTTCTATTAAAGCACCTTCACATTCGTTTTTGTAGCAAACCTTTGAAGCAATCACTTCTTAGCAGACTGGCTTTATCTCCCTTCAAAGGCAAGGGCAGTCGTCAAGGAAGGAGAAAAGACAGAGCGCACAAATTCAAGTTTACCGGTCAGCACACAAGGGGACAGATTAATCGCTGGCACAAAATAAGCATCTATGTGTGGAGATGTTCCCTTTAACAATAGAAGTTGTGGTTATTTCTTTTTTCAGAGCCAGTTTCTGTCAATTTACCACTTGCCACGGAGTGAACAGGACAGCCACAGATTCCCAATTGGGCGAACTAAGCAGACTCTAAGCTAAAGAGCCAGACCACCCTGATCCTCTTCTTCAAGACGATGGGATTACCAGTAAATACCCGAATGGCCTTGAAGCTAGGATATGAAATAGAGCCGTCAAATTTTTAAAAGTTGTTTTAGGTTTTTTTACTGCTTAAATCCTGCTTTTCATCCATTTATTGTTTAACTAACTGTTTAACTGAATGTGTATCTTCTTCTCTGGCCTGATCCAGTAAGCCAATTATTATGTTGCAATGACTTTTTAGTGATAACAGACAGTCAAAACATTATTTCCATTGGGCCTGAATCTTTTGGATTTTATTTCTGCTTGGCTGAGTTGCAGATCTTCTGGATTATGCTCAGAAGAGAACTGTATCAGATTTTGGGGGGAAACAATAGCCGAGGAAATATTACTGGACCTCAGGAATACTTGCCGCTGGCAGAGCCACAGCACATTAAATTGTAATTTGCAATCTAAAGAGGATGGTATGCGCATATTAATAAATCACTTTTTAAGGGCCAAGGTGTCGTCTGAAAGTAAAACCTCTAAAAGCTTCCTAAAACTACCACTTCATCTCTTGAGCCAATTATTATTGCTATTAGTTGTAGTATTATGGCATATTGTTAGCTCGCTCTTCAGCACAGTATATCCCAGGTCAAGCACAATGCATGGGTTAGAATAAATAAATCACGTAAAAATCGACAAAACCAATCAAAATGAGAAATCATCATACCAAGAAGAGCAATGGGAAATGCAGTATGAAGACTACAACAACTACAGAATGGGCTACTCATTCTCCTTTAGTAATTACTCCAATATCCTACAAATGCGCATCCTATTTATGGATATATGCATAGCCATGAGTGAAGGGGTCATTTCAACAATCTGTTGCCTTACAATCTCACGAAACACAACTTTCCAGCTGCACAAGCTGGGCGTACAACTTGTTCTCATGACACACACACAAAACCCCACCGTCAAAGGAATCACTTCTGGCGCGATTCATTGCTTAGAAAACATTATTCAAGACGCATCCTAATTTCCCTTCAACCTTATTCTCAGTGCTCCTGTAGAATTTGCTGATTTCCTTGTAAAAGGTAAAGGTAAAGGACCCCTGGACGGTTAAGTCCAGTTAAAGGTGACTATGAGGGTGCGGCGCTCATCTTGCTTTCAGGCCGAGAGAGCCGGCGTTTGTCCACAGACAGCTTTCTGGGTCATGTAGCCAGCAGGACTAAAATGCTTCTGGCGCAACGGGACACTGTGACGGAAACCAGAGGGCATGGAAATGCCGTTTGCCTTCCCGCCGCAGCGGTACCTATTTATCTACTTGCACTGGCGTGCTTTCGAACTGCTAGACTGGCAGGAGCTGGGACAGAGCAACAGGAGCTCACCCCGTCATGGGGATTCGAACTGCTGACCTTCTGATCAGTAAACCCGAGGCTCAGTGGTTTAGACCACAGCGCCACCCGCGTCCTTGTTCCCATACATCAATGGGAAACGTACGGAAAAGCTCGCTCTTTCCCCGAAATTTTAACTGGTGAATCGTCTCTACAGTGAAAGCTTATATAGCAGACCAACATTTGCCCATTGATGTCTTGGTAGACCTGAGATAGAAAGTCATAGAGCCATGACACTTCACGGATGTGGAGCACACTGTCCCACCGAACCTTGTAGATGAACATTTCCAAATTATATCCATCGCTAGCTGCAGGGCTCTTTTCAGCCAGAACTCACTGGAAGTCAGTTCCAGCAAGAAGAGAAGAGAAGAGTTTGGATTTGATATCCTGCTTTATCACTACCCTAAGGAGTCTCAAAGTGGCTAACATTCTCCTTTCCCTTCCTCCCCCACAACAAACACTCTGTGAGGTGAGTGGGGCTGAGAGACTTCAGAGAAGTGTGACTGGCCCAAGGTCACCCAGCAGCTGCATGTGGAGGATCGGAGACACGAACCCGGTTCCCCAGATTACAAGACTACCACTCTTGACCACTACACCACACTGGCTCTTTCAGGTAGGCACTATTGCCATTATAAGAGAACAAGAGAGGTGTTCATGGTAAGTTCCAGTACCTCTTTTTCTATAAAAAATAGTACTGGCTAGCAGATATTCTGCATTGCTGGTTTTCATCCTAGTAATAAGAGTCACAGGCAGCTGAAGCTAAAATCAGGGTCAATGCATATGATAATGATTATATTTTCACCTCACCCATCTGACTGCCCCAGCCACTCGGGGCAGCTTCCAACATATATAAAAAGATAACAAAACATTAAACATTAAAAAAACCCTTCCCTATACAGGGCTGCCTTCAGGTGTCTTCTAAAGGTTGTATAGTTACTTATAGTTACTTATCTCCTTGGCTGTCTTCTGGCAGTTCCCTTCCTGCGAGAAGTGAGGTTGCAGGGAACCAGGCAGAGGGCCTTCTCGGTAGTGGCGCCTGCCCTGTGGAACACCCTCCCATCAGATGTCAAGGAAATAAACAGCTATCTGACTTTTAGAAGACATCTGAAGGCAGACCTGTTTAGGGAAGTTTTTAATGTTTGATGTTTTATCGTGTTTTTAATATTCTGTTGGCAGCCGCCCAGAGTGGCTGGGGAAACCCAGCCAGATGGGCAGGGTATAAAGAATAAATTATTATTATTATTACTCCATACCCTCCAACATTTCTCCAATGAAAATAGGGATGCCCTAAGGAAAAGTGGGACATTCCGGGATCAAATCAGAAACCAGGATGGCTTCTGTAAATCTGGGACTGTCCCTGGAATATAGGGACACTTGGGGGGTTTGGAATTGCACCTGATGGTGTTTAATTGCAGGTTCTGTTCTCAAGATTAATAAAACGGTGGCCCTTATTTGCACTAGTGTGTTGATTCTGTTCTGAGCCTGGAGCCAGAAGCATTTTAACTAATAAACAGCTCAGTAGCTGTGGAGTTTGGGGGCGACAATTGAACCTGGCAGTCAAGTGCTATAGCACAGTTTGCTCTGTAATGCCGGATGCTGAGGTTTGGCGCTAGGCAAGTAGCAAGAGGTTCATCAAGTCCTGAACCTAATCTGAG